GGGCCGAAATTGACTTTCTTCAGTCTGCGTCCCATCTCAATGTTGTGACATCAGCAGTTTTATTCCTGAGTATCAACGTATGTGATGCCACAGGAGTTTCTCCTGTCCCAGGGCGGGAACAAATCACTTTTTTCTCGCTATCTGAACCTGGGCCGGTCAGGGTTCGTTTGTAAGGTGTTTTCTGTCCTGTTGAGTGTCGTTGTGAGGGCCACTATCTGCATGCCAACAGCGTTTCCAGGACAGCTGGGTCCAAGAACTAAGTTACACCCGAGTCTTGGGCTTTTGGGTATTGTGCTCCCGTTGCGGTTCTTTGAAACAAAAGAACTTCCAAGGGCCCATCAATGACTGGGACATGGTCAAGGCCCTCAAATCGGCTGGCACAGCGCAGAGTGTCAAAGAGACTAGATGATAGTACCTCTGTCGCTAGTAATGAGAATGTTTTGGCTTCTTATCGTTGAGTAGCCTCAATGTCACGTATGACTCTCACAGTTGGCTGGGATAATATCTCAAGACGCTTCTCCGCGCTGCAATCGGTCTGCGTTGACGGAGGGGCAACCCGGCCGTTCCGAGACGACGATATTGCTCTTGCTTCCAAAATGTGGCAAGGCGGGAATCGGGCTGGCCTTCACATCTGAGGTGGCAGATGCCACGCTTTCAACCTCTTCGAAGCTCCAACGGCTCTGGAAACTGTTTCGTCTCAGACGAGGGAAGTATGACTGAATAGCTGTTTTACTGCAATAGGATTGGCTGATATGCTTTAACAAATGATCAAAGTTGTCCATTTTGGGTATTATCTTAATAGGGGCCAAGAGACCACGCACATGGCACTTTTCAGCCTTTGGTAATCTCGTCTTCCTCGTCCTCCCACTCGCCCGTATCCTCCATGGCCTCATTGACCTGGTATTCGGCATCCCCAGCCAGACTCTCGCTGTCAAATTCGTCGTCATAGTCCATGTCCACGTCACTGTCATCAGCCTCCTTGCCCTTTCCGGCATTGGCTTTCCGCTTCTTTTCGACGTTCTCCTTTTGTTGCTTCCGCCTGGCCTCCTTCTCCTTCTGTCTCTGCTCCCAGCGCTTCTCTAACTCCTTTACCTCCTCCTTGGTCTTGTGGACATACTCGTGCCACATCACCTTTCCAGAGCACAAGCCCTCCTCAACCTTGGTCAGACGCAGTCGCATACGAGGACCCAACTCGACGAGCTTGACGGCACGCTTTTCAACGGCATCATCCTCATCGGCCATATCGTCGTCGACCGGCGCAGCGCTCTTCCTGATCTTCTGAGCCTTCTGTTCCTTGACCTCGACCTCGGCATCACTGTCGAGCTCGCTTCCGCTGGTTGCGTCGGTAAGATATCCGTCCCCGTTCTCTCCACCCTGAAGAAAGTCGGCGATATCTTCCAGCTTTCCAAGATTCGGCACACCCCCCTTTCCGTTTGTCTTTGAAGCTAACAGCTTCTCTGCCTTTTCGAGTCTTCGGAGTGGCCTTGAGATTCCTGTTGACCGTGTGGTAATGGCGTAGTGCCGCATGTTGATGATGAAAGATCCCTCATTCTCCGGGTCCTTTTCGCGGTTAAGCAGTAACGTGCGCTTAATCTTGTTCAGGGGCGTCGCATTCGGGTTCAGCGGAGGGAAGACACTGGACCAAACGGAGGTCACCAAGGACTCGAGATGTTTGGGCACCTTGGATGTTGCGTCGGCGTCGGGGGTATGGAAGTTGTTCATGACGAGCTGGAATGGTTTAGCAAGAACTCGAGCGGGTAGGGCAATTGATGTCGTACCAATGGCGGAGCAATCTGCTCTTTTCCACTGCCCTTGGGGCGTCTCTGGGACTTCTGTACATCCTTGCACAGAGAATATTTCTCGACCCGGAAGTTCAGTGTAGGGCCTCGAGGTGTGAGTGCCACGCGCAAGTTGGTATTGCCGCTCTCTGATCGCGAAAAAAGCATCAGGTGAGTGACGCCGAGGGGGCCGGTCATGACAACGTAGTCCTTCAATCGGTTTCCTCTTCTCTCCTTCATTCGACTGGCAGTCCCCGGCTCCATGACCTTTCGGAAATCGGCAGCAAGTTGGCTTACGCTGGAGCCAACCTCACCGGCGCCGATGCGGATGACCATGCTCTTGGGATCCTTTGCGCCATTGTTCTCGCCGGCGGTGGCAGGGTTGCTGGCACCGAGGTGCGTCCTCTTCTTGACTCTCTTGCGCGCCATCTTTTGTTGGGTTCGGGGTGGTGATTGGCTTGGGATAAGAAAATCTTGACGTTGATAAGTTGTCGAGGATCCAGAATCCGCAATTCGAAAAGTAACTGGGCCTGGGACGAGACCTGGATGCTTTGGTCGTCTGCAGGAAATTTTTTGGCGGGGCCCGGTCGATAAGAACCAAAAAAACAGCCTTCACGTGCTGATAACACTCATGTCCCCACTAAAAACTTTCCCAGAGCGTGGGATGTCATCAAGTCGCGGCCACTGCTAAACTTTTTGCACCGAGGCCTTCGACAACCGCTTTTCCTCTTTGCGCCACACCGCACAGCGAGTTGTTCACGACGAAGATGCCTTCCTCGACGACAAAAAAGGTGACATCGAAGGCGAACATGCCTTCTTCCAAGCGACAAAAGGTGGCGAAGACGGGCTCGTCTTCCAAATTGTCTCGCAAAGTCGAGGCGGAAGCTTCTCCATCCCCAGCAGCCGAATCTGAAGCCGGATCTGATTCCGAAGACAATGTCGCAGCCGATGCCGATTCCGATGTCGAGATCAATGCTGACGTTACTGCCGATGCCACTGAGGAAGTGACCAAGAGCTTCAAGGAGCTGGTAATTTGCAACCAAGACCCCTCCTCCGGCCCGTGATGGTCTCTAATGTCAATGTTCCAGGGTGTCGTCGAGTCCCTATGCGAAGCATGCGAATCTCTTGGATACAAGAAGCCCACGCCTATTCAGGCTCAGTCGATCCCTCACGCCCTTGCGAATCGCGATATTATTGGTCTGGCCGAGACAGGTTCAGGAAAAACGGCGGCTGTCAGTAGACCATTTCTTCCTTCCATGCACACCTTCAGCCCACCTCGGAACCGTACCATGAAAGCCATATAGGGTCGAGACGAATATGCAGGCTTGGCCAATTGTCCAAGACCCTTGTGGACTTGTAATGTGAAGAACCGATCGTCATCAGCTTTCACAAATACACTGTCGTTTTCCTCTACGCGTCACGACTGTACGGACTACAAGGTTACCCATGCAGCCGCTAACTATCATTCACAGTTCGCACTCCCCGTTATTCAAGCTCTCTTGGAGAAACCTCAACCGTTCTTTGGACTTGTTCTCGCGCCCACAAGAGAGTTGGCGGCACAGATTGGTGCGCAGTTCGAGGCACTTGGTAGCCTGATCAACTTGCGATGCGCCGTGATCGTCGGCGGTCTCGACTTCGTTGAGTCAACCCCCTCATAGATCCCCCCGCCGCAGAGGATGCTAACAGCTCGGACAACAGGTCTCTCAGGCCATTGCTCTCGGAAAGCGCCCCCATATTCTCGTCGCTACACCCGGACGTCTAGTTGATCACCTCGAGAAGACCAAGGGTTTCTCCTTGCGCTCGCTGAAGTACCTGGTGATGGACGAAGCCGACAGGCTGCTTGACATGGATTTCGGCCCGGCCATCACCTCTCTCCTTAAGTTTCTCCCCCGCGAACGCCGAACTTTCCTCTTCTCTGCTACGATGAGCACAAAGATTGAGAGTCTGTCCCGGGCCAGTTTGAGAGACCCCGTTCGCGTCAGCATCAGCTCCAACAAATACCAGACCGTCAAGGGGTTGATCCAGCACTACTGCTTTGTTCCTCATACGCAAAAGGACACCTACCTGATTTACCTTGGTAACGAGTTCGCCGGCAAGCGCATCATCATCTTCGCCCGCACTGTTGCGGAGGTGCAACGGTTATCGATCCTTCTGCGTGCTTTAGGATTCTCCGCCATCCCTCTCCATGGACAGCTCAACCAGACTGCGCGTCTTGGTGCGCTTTCCAGGTTCCGTGAAGGAACTCGCCAGATTTTGGTCGCTACTGTGAGTCTATGACATACACCGCGCTATCTCTCTCTCTCTTTGGCGAAGCTAATTAGTACCAGGATGTCGCTGCCAGAGGTCTTGATATTCCGCTCGTCGACGTTGTTATAAATCACGACTTGCCGCAGGACAGCAAGACCATGTATGTCTTACCCGCAAGCGAACAGGTTACCGTGGCTAACCACATCAGGATTCATCGAATCGGTCGTACCGCTCGTGCCGGAAAGTCAGGCATTGCCATCAGTCTAGTCACACAATACGACCTCGAAATCTACCTGCGAATCGAGGCCGCCCTTGGCAAGAAGCTGACCGAGTACCCCACGCAAAAGGACGAGGTCATGGTCTTTCAGAGTCGCGTTGAGGAGGCACAAAGACATGCTAGAATGGAGATGAAGAATTTGATGGAGAACCAAGGCAAGAAGGGCTCGACTCTGAAGGGTGGGAAGAAGGGTAAGGGCAACAAGAGGCGTCACGACGACATGGACGCTGAGGAGGGCTAATTATTTGATACCTATCTTTTTATTTTTCGGGAGTTTCCGGTGTTGCTAGTGTGTCTGAGATCGTGAGACAGCTTTCAGCACTGTTGAGGATCGAACAAAGCTTGGGTTGGCAGAGGGTTGCAGATGTCTTCCGTTTTTGTTCTGGTCAAGCATGCCGTTAAGATGAAGGCGTACTAAAAGTGATTTAAACGTGAACCCCTGTCATCAGGATTTCGCATCATGTTGTCTCTGCTAGCTGCGGCGGGCGGAGTTGAAGAGAATGGCTGACCAGTACTTTTGAGAATAAGTGAATTAAGTAGTGTAGTAAAACAGTCGTCTATCCTTCAGACTCGTTGCAACATCAGACTCCTGTCCTGAAAACAACGCCAATCCCGACAGAAAAAGAAAGAAAGGTCCAACATGGGTATATGCCGAGAAACAAGCGCAACCCCCGGCGCAGACAACTCCCCAGAGACTTGGTTGGTACAAAGCAGTCAATTAGAACTCATCGTCGGCGACCGTCTCCCATCGCTTCGTCGCGAGCTTCCGCATCTTCTTGGGACTCCCCGAGCTGCCACCAGTACTTTCGCTGCTAACGCGTAGTTGCTCCATCTTGCGACCGAGGTTGCTCACACCGGTGGGGCCGCCTTTGCGGCCACCAAAGTCTTCGCGTTCTTGGAGTGGCTTCCGCTTGCTCGGGCTTCTTTGCGCGAGCTCCCGCTTCAGGATCTCGTTCTCCCGTCGAAGTCTTTCGTTCTCGTCTTCAAGGTCCTCGACGAGTAGGTTTTCTTTGTCCTCGCCGGCCTCGTCGTCGATCGTTAGGCCAAGCCCCTTTTCGAAAAGCTCCATTTTACGATCCCAGTGCTCTTCGCCCTTCTCTTGCTCTGCAGCAAGGGTTGCTTTCCAGCGGGCCAGCTCTAACTCGAAGCGAGCGTCAAACTCAGCCATGCAATCCTCGCGTACTGTCTGCTCTAGCTCCAGCAGCCTGTCTTCCATGCTGAGCAGATGTGCTTCTGCGGTAACTCTCATCTCGCGTTCGTTGTCCAGCTCGACATGAAGGTTGGTTATCTCTTCCTGCATACGAGCAATTTCCAGCGCCGCATGCTCCATGAGCACTCTGTCTCCGTTATCTGAATTTGGAGAGAAGTTGCGATGGCCAGACGATCCGTGGCCAAAGTATCCTCGGCGCTGTGGAGGCAAATCAGGGGATCTCATTCCTGACGGCGGGTGCGCTGATGAGGGTGTGTCGGCCAGAATAGTCGATGTAATGCTGGGAATCCGAGGAATCGTTACTTCCCTAGCAAGGGCGCTATATCTGAGAATCTGCGAGGTCGCATTGGCGTCGCCGTGTGCATCGGCAGTGACGATCATAATGCCTCGCTGGGCATTCCGACGAGGCACAACACCCGCAGATGATGAAGACGACGCCGAGAATGAGTTTGAGAACAGAAGCTCAGTCATCTTACATTGCCGGAATGGCATGACAGTAGGCTATGTTGTTTTACGTTAGTTTTGTCCTGATCGATGGTCTGCAACCGACTTGACGTACCTTGCTGCTGTTGCCCATACCGCTCTGTGCCTGGAGACATTGACCGAGATACATCAGACTCTCGTTGATCTTGCCGGCTTCGGCGAGAGTTGCGCCTTGTGTCTTGGCATCTCGGGCACGCTCGGAGCCAGCCAAGTCAACAATAGTCAGAGTGTTGCCGGTCCAGGATCGGTAGCGTCCTGCTCTGGATCTTTTCTTCACCTCAACACAGAAGAATCCGTGGCTGCGTGAAGAGACACTATTGCTGCCTGTTCCAGCAACCTGACGCTCATGTAAACCTGCCTCCAATACCATGATAGCTTCTCTCATGGTCGTACACGCAATCTTCTTCAGTCCAGCCACAACCTTCCTATCGGAGGACTGCTCGGTTGATTTGAAGAGTAGAGGCCGACGCCGGTACTCTTTCGTAGCGTTGGATTTGATCGGCGGGGTTAGGAGATCGTAAATTTTGTCGTTGTAGACCTCGTACATGGACAAAACGACGGCGTAGTCTGAATCAGGGTCCGAAGACATGTTGACGGAGCTAATGTCAGGAGCTGAGGGAAGAGCCGAGGGTCGCTGCAGGGCGCGTCGAGGGGTTGGAGGCGGACAGTGTTCACCCTTTACTAGTTGTTTAGCTGTGTTCTTTACTTTGGATGCCGCAGTCACAGCCATGAAGTGCTTCTCAGCGACGTCTTCATGAATCTGGAAGTCTTCCCGCACTGGCGTGGAAAAGCGATCACGAGGCTTGCCCCTTGGATGGTCTGGTGTCGACGGCACAAGGCGTACACCTGTCAACTCGACTGGCGGCTGGGACTGCTTTTGCCTCTGGTTGTGTGCGAAAGGCTGAAAGGGAAATTCGAGGGGATGAACAGGGGGTCCTACAAGCATCGGTGTTCCCGCTCTTGAACCTCCGCCGCGGGACGAGCCAAAGTCTGCAAAGACAGTCTCGAGGAAACACGGTGCGGATATGATGGTGGCATCCGAGGCATCTGAAGACTGGAGAGATCTCTCCAAAGTCGGTGAATCGTACATGTTGGAGCCAATTGATCTGAAGACGACGTCGAGCGCGAGTTGTGTCATGCCTCGTGTTGAGCGTGAGCCAAGAATAGTGTGCGACTATACAATTTGTTAGCACAAGTAGGCCAAGATGGGTTACCGAATACAGCTCGAGACTACCTTTCCTGATCCAGTGACGCCCAGGGTGGCGATCAGAGCATCGGTACCATGTCCACCATGAGGAGCCAGGACACCCTCAACAAGTGAGGCGATTCCTGTGCAGTGGAAAACATCGAGCTGAGAGGCCTCTTCTTCGAAGACTCTGGTGAAGGCAAACTTTTCTGTCGATCGTTTGCGGTCGTTGGGAGGGTTCAGTGTGATATGGGTTGGATGAGAGCCCTCGTGGGACTCTTCGACATCGACGAATCTGTCGGACGAAGCTGCGCCAGCCGGGGGCGGTCTCAAGCGCAGGTATACCTGGAACAGGTTTGCCGACGACTTCTGCGGTAATGCGGAATCCATCTTTCGCTCTGTTGTTGAAGTCCCTCCAGCGTGGATTGAGTAGATTGGCGATGTTTCTGCTCAGGGGACACGCGATTGTCGTGTGATTGATGCTCTTCGTCGAGGTTGAATATCTAGAGCTGGGTCGTCTGGGTCGCAAACGATGCCGATGGGACAAAGAGACACAATCCTTGTTTACTGCGATGACCGGGCAACGAGATAAGATAAGCGAGGTGGAAGCGCCTGATTAGATAAGCCATTGGGAATAAGCAAGCACGTACGGTACCTTAGGAAGGGACGTGCACGTTGATGTGCCTGGCCCCCTGGCAGAAATCTGATCTCATCCCCACTAACTTTTTTTTTGCACGGTGCTCCCCGCTGAGACAAAGTCCCTAGTGGGGCCCGTCTACCTATACGTACCTTCCTGCATGTTGGCGCCGGGTCCGACCGATGGGGGGAGGACCTCGAGCTGGGAATTCACAGGTCCAGTCCAACTTCACGTCTCCTTTTGCTCACTTGACTTAGTCGGTAATTACCTTATGGCGAAGCGCCCTTTCTGGAAGCTATCCGTTGTCAAGACTCAGCAGCGGCACTGCACTACATACGGCCCGACTTGTCAGACAATTTTGTGTCTTTGTTCCTGAATGTGGCAGCATTATCCCTCGGTCATTGACTTTGAGTCAGACCATTAAAGTGTGTAGTCACCACAGGGGCAATCTTTAGGTAGGTTGACTGGTCAAGCCTAAGGCAGGAAATATAGACCGAGTCTCTCACTGCAGTTGCTGTAGGCATGACAAGAGCTATGCCAGCTCGCCTCCCTGTTTTACAGAGCTCTGCGTTTTCTTGCATGTAATAGTCCCTCGATCAAAGTTTTACTCAGGCTCGTAGGTAAAATGTATGAGGGCTGCACAGGCATCATCCGGCTCGTCAACCCCTCATTTCCCGTCAGTGAGTCATGAACGACAAGAAAGTCAGACAACGCGGACCAGTGCCGTCCAAGGCTGATCCCAATTCCTCCCGCATGACTGGTTGAAAATTTGGACATGAAGCACTGGGCCCTTTGGATGGATTGTGGTTGGATTGAGTTGAAAAAATTTACGAATAGACTACGGGCAGCACCGAACCTCCGAGGAGCCTTGGGCCCGCCTAGGCCGGAGCTCGAATACCCTTTTTTTCCTATGGGTTATTCCCAATCTGCTGGTTACCACACCTGAATCTGGTTGACCCCTCCGAAAGCTACGTACCTGAAAAGGACACTTGACTTTGAGTCTTCCATTGTAAGGTATTTGCAAGATATGGATCAGAGAGAGAGCATGGAGTTCGCTTCCCACAGATAGGAATGAGTCAACAGGTGACTCAACAATTCTCAGACAGAGCAACTGATGTCCAATGACTCCTTTGGATGACCGAAGTTACGTTGTGCTCAAGCGGCTGTTGGTCTCGAGACGTAGACTGATGAGTTGGCCCCTCGATTGCCCCTCGGTGATGCCCCTCGAACAGACGACCTTGCGAGCCGAGGCGAATCAGGAGACCGCCTACCTAATACGCATGCTGGATGCCAGATGCCTGTGCAGGCAAGCGGTGGGCCGTATCCCGAGCTAATACGGATACTTTGTACGGATACAGATGCATTGGGTGATGGGAAACTGCAAAGTATGTACAGATATGGCCAGTACCTACGGAGTAGTGAGTGGGGTTACGTGAGAGGAATTTGCTTGGTGCTTGTCAAGGCTCAAGAGGCAGAACTCAGGAGTCAGGAGCTTGACCCTGTGGAGACCGCAATGCACAATCTCGAGGCCACAGCTGCGCCTCTCCCCCATCTACGAGTAGTAGCCTATGGGTTGCTCCCAGTTGACACCTGGACTTGCCGCTGTTCATGAATGAAGCGTCAACGCTGCGTTGCGGTGTACGATGGGTGGTGACCACCTCCCTCTTCCGCTATGGTCAACCATTCGGATCAGCAAGACTACGACAAACAACTCTCGATACTGAGAAGAGCCTACGCAGTGTGTATGTGAGCCCAAGAGGTGTTCGGCGGGTCATGAGGGAAGGATTGGATATTGGATCTGCCACAATGGAGGAAGGATCAGCTTGTCCCCCCTCCCCCTCGATCTGGACCAGCCTGACGGGTGACAACAGATGGAGGGGTCAAAATCCATTACGGAGTACGTAGTGTGTTATGTGCCTGGAAGAAGAGCTTGGAACAGACGGGAGAGTGAGGTGACACAGGTCGAGGGAGGGGCAGAAATGGTTTGATGAGGTTGACGTTGCTGCCACGGTTGCGTGCTGTGCTGTGCTGTGCGTGCTGCCGCCTGTGAAAGGCACCTACCAGGTTCGAGGCGAGGAGGGGCGCGGTTGACTTGCTGTTGCTAGCCTTTCCACACAGGGTCCTTTCCTCCACATTTCACTGACATTATCCACTAAATGACGCCGTATCTCCAGCGGATTCTCAGCGCCTGCAGGGCAATTGTAGGAGCGCCGGGGGGGGGAACAGACCGCGAAAAGGCGGTGACGGCGTGCCGGATGAGGGATAGCGCCGTCTCGCTACCCACTCTCAGCAAACCAGAGTACCAGACAATGGCAGCAGTGGGAAGGCACTCGGGGCCGCAGATTCCCACACCTTGAGACCCCACCAGAACGGGAGACTTTCAGCATGGAGAAGGAGGCACGGAGGAAAAAGTTTGGGCGACAAACGGCAACAGCCACCAGGTAGGTACGTATCCCACACTACGTACCTACAGCGTAGCAGCCCACCAAAAAAAAAAAAAAAAAAAGTTCGATTGGGTGCTCCACACCCAAGGACGGGGCGACTGGGGGAGCCATATTATTTTCGGAATCCCGGTGCCTCTCGTCCTCTTCCCTCTTTTTTTTCCTCTCTTCCATCTCAACCATCAAAACCAATTTAACCCCACGAGACAACGAAGTCGCCCTACAACCTTGAAAAGGATCTAGAAACAAACACACACTTCGTCGAGAATCATGTCCGCCGCTTTCGCTGAGCTGTAAACGCCCACTGCGGAGGTGCCCCTGCGCAGGCACCTCTGCAGTCCAGCAGCCCATCGAGACATTCAATCCATTCTGTTTCCCGACGAAGTTCACACAGGCTTTCACTGTCCAGAGCCCTCATTGAGAGGACGTCTCTGGCCCATTGACGGAAGTCTGCATCGCTTTTCACTAGAATCGATCAACAAGCCCACTATTCACCGGGCTACGAGAAGCCTATTCGCTTGAAGAAAATATCTTCACCTCCACCTAATCCGACTACCACGACCCCTCCCTCTATCCGACCTAAGACACGATAATCCAGTCGCCGCCCTAGACCTACAAACAAGGCTCACCAAGAGAGCAAACTACATACAATACACAACCATACACATTGTTGGGCATTCGCACGGCATTGATTAGCGCCGGTTTTCCAGACAAACTCCCACCCCTCCGAATACTACCATATTGGGTTTCAACCCCTGCCTAACCACTACCAACCATGTCACGCAACGTTCGCAACAAGGCTTCTTCGGCCTCGAGAAAAGCCGCCAAGCGTCGCGACTCTATTACCTCTTCGTCCTCCTTCGACCTGTCTGACGAAGGAGGATATTCTGCTGTCGAAGATATCAGTGATTCTTCTGACGATGACGAGGAAGATGTCGACGCGGCCGAGGAGGAACATATTCTCCACGAGGTGCTACCTACCCCCAGCATCCCGATTCCTCCCCGGCCGCCCATTGTCCAAGAAGAAGAGGATGATGACGATGATGATGATGATGACGACGACGAAGAAGAAGAAGACGAAGAGGAGGGGCAAGAGCAAGAAGACGAAGATGATGGCGCAGCAGACATTGAGGATGCCGCCAGTTGGGATGGTATCATGTCAGAGGTTGACGAAAGTGCTGCTTCTGATCACCACCACCGTCCTGCGGAGCGCCACGTGCGCTTCGATGTTCCCTCGAGTGATTCCGACTCCACCGATACGGAAGATGATCATGCCGATTTCTTCCCCGACATCTTTGTCGATCAGAGCTCTCTCGATCCAGCCTTCCGTCGCGAGATTGAAAAGGATGATGAAAACGACGAGTCTGAAAACTCAAATTCATTCTGGGACTACCATGGCGATTATCATGGAGCCTATGGGTACGCCCCTGACGCAGACTCAGATATTGAGGCTGTCGTTCAGGAACTTGGCGATGATGATACGCCGATTGCTACTCCCATGACCACCGGCGAACTCTCTGAGATGCCCACTCCGGTCGCAGCGCTTGAGGAAACCCAAGAGCTAGACGGCTATGAGAGTGAGTTTGCTCTTTGTGACAAGAACAATGAGAATGTGTGATTGCTAACTCGCCCAACTAGCTGATGGTGATACCACTGAAGAAGATGAGCCGGAGCCAGTTGTCCGCCGCAAGATTAAGCGTCCCGAACCCTCCGCGGATCAGTGGGATGATTCCGACACGGATCATCCGGTCAAGGGCCACCGTGGACAGCCGCGTGTCGGCCGCTTCAACCTCGACAACTCTGAGCGGAAGCCCATTGCTGTTGTGAACCCCATTTCACGAAAGATGATGATCTTCACTCCCCATCGTCGCCGTCAGCTTGATCTGTCTCCCGAACAGTTCAACTTCCAATTCCTGGCCCCCATTGATGAGAACCAACCCTCTCCCATGATGAGCAGCTCTGCACAGATTATGATGAGTGCAATGTTCTCATCCAATACCTTTGGTGACTACCTCAACACTCAGGCCATGGGACCTACCGAGGCCTTCTTTCCCTTCCAGTCCGAACCCAATACTGCCGATGAGAGCTCGGATGTTGGATTCGATGAGGAGGAGGATGACGAGGTTGAAAAGTCTCTCAACATCAGCGACTTCATCGAGTTCGACGAGGGCCGGTCCTCTGCCGATGAAGACGAGGACAACCAGTGGGACGCCGATCCCCTGAACTCCACCCCTGCTCGACCACGCACCGCTTCCAGCGATGTTGACCTCCACTCCCACATCAACGCCACCAACGTGGGAGCATTCCGTCGCGACCAGATCAACCAACGTCTCATTCTGAGCGACAAGGCCACGCAAGACTCCCTCGCCCTAAGCAGTCCATACAACTACACTGCTCTGCGTGGTCTCAAGTCAGATCGCTTCGAAACTGCAGCCGTTCCCTTGACGCCCCTTCGACGATCCAAGAAGCAGATGCGTGACGCAGCGCGCAGTCCTCTAGAGTCCATGTCACAAAAACGCAAGGCATCTAGTGAGATGCCCATGGGCCACAAGCGCCATCGCAGCATCTCGGACGTCAACTTGCTACACATCTAGCCGATGCCGTAGTGTTTGACTTTTCCGGCATGTTTAATGCGACAAAAAACGGTTGAGGATGGCGTGGCAAGGTGTCCTCAAGTAATAGGCACCTGCCATCCCTGGCCTCATACACATTGGCTATCGTTGCCCTATTGTTTTCTTATGTTACACATTCTTACACTGCCCGTCGAATCGACGGGAATGACGGTAGACAAAAGCGCAAAAGTCATAGACCTTGAAAGCAAGTGTCTGAAGAGCGAACAAAGTCAGCCCCATACAACCGACCAGTTTTTATTGGTGGGAAGAGTCTCCCTGTCACGGTCTGAAGCTGCAGCCTGTTTCCTAGTTTCGTATCAATGAAAATCATGATATCCTACCTTGTGTGCCGTTATTATGTGCCTGTCTTGCATTACCTAATCAATCCTGTGACGACACATTGGTCCGCGCTTGGGAGCCATAACGATGGGTGAGATAAGACTCTAGATTTGCGTTTGCTCTGCACGAAGATATGTCCAAAGACATCAAGTATGTACAAGAAGGGGTTCATCGTCCAGTCTCCTCGAGCCCGCCCCAACCTCACAACAGTCGTTCTTCATTATAAATAACTCTTCCAATCCTCTCGCTCATAAGTATTCCAGCCGGCCGATGCATTGACTCAGCTGTAAGTGTCAATGGCATTGTTGAACGCCGTATCAATCGGCTCAATCAGCGTCTTAGCGAAGGCCTGCAACGCCTCGGGGACCTTCTCAATGACAGCCGCGCTGAACTTGTCCGTCGCGCTCTGCTCGGACTTGAGGTTGAGCAGGATGACGGGGCTCAGCAGGAGCTTGTCAAACTTGGGCTTCGCGTCGACGACGGCGGTGAGCGTGGTCTGCACGCCGCTCGACAGCTTCTGCGTCGCCTGCGCCACCCCGATGGCCTCGAGGGCGGTCAGGGGCTCCGAGTCTTCGGCGACCTTGGTGGCCTCGTTGATCTTGATGAGGAGCTTGGTGGAGTCGATGATGATGGGGAGCGTGCCGAAGAGGCCGCCATCCCAGGACGACACGGTGTCACCCAGCTCCGTGTTCTGGGCCGCGATCTCGTCCATGGCGGCCACGATGGCGGCGCCGTCGGCGAGGACTGAGGTGGCGAAGAGGCCGAGGAGGGAAAACTTGAGAAGCATGTTTTCTGTGGTTGAGGGTCTCTGAGGACTAACACAACCGAGAGCTTTGCTTTAGTATTGAGAAAGGTATAGATCTGGATCTGAATCTGAATCTGAGGCTGCTGATTGACCGAGACACCATCCTGAATATCGCGACCTTCACCAGCTCTTTATACTCATTGCTCGTACGATTCCAGAACATCATCGTTGTCCTCGTCACATCAACTACATTTTAGCTTGCATGTTGGCTCATGTTCCTCCGCCTATCACGCCTATTCAACATCTAGCGACCTTCCATCAAGGTCATATTCGCCCGCAAACACCATCGGTCAAGGACACTCAATTACCACATCAAGACTTAGGCGACGTAGGATCGTGCCGTCCCAATCCTGGAAACCAGAAAGCTTCACATGCCCCCTCGGCCGAGAACCCCATGTGCTCATCTACCCAACGTGCCCCAGCTCCCCCACAGAACAAACACCTACCCGTGTCGTCCCCATCACGAACACATGCTCAGCCAGCAGTTCACGACACCTCCAAGCCGAGGAGCGCAGGGATCTTACCCCAGATTCCGGCCTTCCTCCCCCCTGAACACCCCCGCTGATCTGCCCTCTTTCCCCTCATGCAAGCCTTGCAAGGTGCCTGCCGATGTGACTTGCCCGACACGAGAGTAGGTGCGCAAACGCCCGCCATTGGACGGCGTAAACACAGTCCGGCTCCGGCATTGGCCTTTTCTTTTCGCGACTCGGGGCGGGTGGCTGACTGTGAGGGCGGCCAGACATCATGGTTGGTGCGAGTTGGCGGGCTTTTAGCCTTTTTGGACCTGAGCCAATGGTTCCTCCGAGCTTTTACTTCGTCTAATGAGGCGGTTGACATTGGAGGATGCGATGGCAGGTTTGTCATTTCCTTCTGTTCTGACGAAATATGTAAAGGGCGATTGAGATTCGGGTTGGCTGAGTACGGCAGCCTACATACCTACCTACACTTTGGGGACCTTGTCACTCCAATTGGCAAAGTCTAAAGACAACATTGATTGAGCTTAATTGCCAACTACATGACCAGCTCCATCTCGCCTTTCCAAATCCGGTCTTTCCGTAATCTCGTGAACATGGAGGTCTTCTTCTACTGTACAATTATGTTTATCTTCGTGGGCATAATTCAAGTCAGACAGTCCTTCAAGTGATGCCAAATCCACCTCTGCACGTCTAATGCTCTCATACCCCCAGCTATAACTCGACGTCCAGCCAGGCAGAAGAGATCACAGGAAATGAACTCAGTCGAAGTGACAAAAAAGTGGCAATTTCAAGTCTAATTCTAGAGAGTCTGGCGGTTATGGGAACGAGACAGCAGGGGCGTCATTGAGTTGTCAGTCATACTTGATGAGAATGGTCCGAGGTACCTACCGTCAACACATGCCCCAACACATTGATGGTAAGTGACAAGAAAGACACCAGATAGTCATAATCAATTCTATGTTATCCCTCCCAAGAAAGATGTGGAGAACAGAACCATATTCCATGATCGTATGCGCCCAATTACCACATAGTTCTCCATCTTCTGCAAGACCAATTAAGTCAGATGTGTATAAGCAGCCGCTATTCGGAAACCGTTGCCATTCACACTACAAGACCCACTTATTGACAGCCAAAACAAAGCAAGTCTGGCCACCCTTACTCTCCAAATCTCATTCAAATTGATCAACATTGTATATCAAAAGGATACGGACAATTCCCATGGGAATCAAAAATCGAATCGACCGAGCTGGGACTCGAACCCAGAACCTTTGCCACCGGAAAGCAACGCGCTGCCATTGCGCCACCCGGCCGTATCCTTTGTTTTCCGATGAAAGCCGAGGCCGGCTGACTGCTGAAGGAGCTCTGCGTGTGCGAAGCAAGAGCTTCTCTGGCCTCCCCTTCGGCGATGCGGGAGCTAGGGGCCCTTGGCCCTTTAGCGATAGCCTCTGGTATATGCGCGTTATAAGTTCCAAGTCTAGGTGAAGAAGGCTTGAGGGGTGACGGATGGCGGCTGCTTGAAGGCTGCTTCAATGTCCGGCCGGAACAGGGTGGGTCGCGGACGGCCCAGCGTCTTAGACATGACGGAAACTTCAATGACAGCCGGAAAGGCAGGTGAAGGAAGCAAGGGGCATCCGCAATTTCCAAGCTTGTGACTTGTTGACATGGTAGCTTTTGTGATTTCATTTCAACAATATGGATGCCAGGGATCGTCCAAAAGGATGCTCCAAGTGCGGAAGCGGGGTCGCTTTCAAACCATCACAGCTGATGGTGAAGATGCTGGTGGTAGTAGATATCACAAACACGCCAGTTGAGTCGAAAGGTCCTGCCAAAAAGTCTATGCAGATTGCTGTTCTGGTCTAAGATGCTCTATCCATAAGACGCGCAATCATGTGCATGGGCAGCGCAGCCGGGCCTCGACAAATTCGAAGCTCATGGGGTATCAAACACAAGCAAGCCATCCTCCACGATTGGCCCAATTCCTAAAAGACAAGACATTGCGCGACTGAGTATGCTCACTCATCGTCGTCGTTGAGACCAAAGTCGTCGTCGTCATCGTCTTCGCCCATCCCCTGATCGTCCTCATCGTACATGTGGGATTCGTCGCCCATGTCATCGTAGTCATCCCCACCACCGTACTCGTCGTCTTGGTGCTCATGGCCCCCGTCGCCATCAATGGGCTCGATTTCCTCTTCTTCTTCGTCGTAGTGGTCATCCACAACACTAGGCGCCTTACTCGTAGGACGGCTCGCAGCTTCACTCTCAGGCCGGGAGCCAGGGTCACCTTGACCAGCGACGTCGAACATCTGCCGGATAGCCTCGTAGTTGATGCGCTTCGAAAAACCACGCTCCTTCATGACATTCACAGCAGCCTCGCCCGGTGTGCTGGCAGGTGTCGTCTGGCCTTCGCCAATACGAGGGCGCTTCTTCCGCTTGCGATCCTTCTTAGGCTTCTTCTCCTCCAGCTTCTTGCGGAACAGACGCTCCTGCGACGCGCGCAGCCAGTCTTTGTTTTCATTGACCCACAGAAGCTCCTTGATCTTGATCTCATCAGGAGTCAACATGCAGTTCGCAACTTCGGGATCATCGGCGAACTCGTCTTCGCCAACCTCCGGCGCCATTGAGACAGCCTTGTCTGGTTGCTGCTGAAGGGCCCAGATCGAGTGGATGCGAGCTCGTTGCTCGGCGTTGCTGAAAGCTTTGGCGTGCTCGTAGGTCTCGGGATCATTCATAATTTCCGAGATCTGATCTTCCATCTCGGCCTCATCTTCCTCCCACTCTTCGTTGATTGGCAACGACGGCTTCGGTTGCCGCGTCTTTTCACTACCAGCATCCGTCTGCGATGACTCTTCGTTTTCCTTCTCGGCGTCGCCGAATTCTTGAGCCAGGCCCTCAAGATGTTGGGTGCTGTTAGCATCCCTTAAAGCTGGCTCGTTGACGGCAATTTTCGACGGGAGAGGGGGGATAATGTAGCCGTCCTTATCTCGGCGATACTCAATAGTCGGCGCTGCAGACAGATCAGGCGGTGGCAGAGAGGGCGCAGGTGTCGTTCTGTTGTTATCACCGTCGTCTATGATAGTTCGCTTACGCTTCTTGCCAAGCTCTGCCTGTTGCGCTTGCCAAGCCTCGGTGTTCCGGTAGAAAGACGGGGGGTCGTGAGAGCTAGAGCCGAAATCTTGGGACAAGAAGTCTTCTACCGTCATTTTACTGGTCTCCGTCACGTTGAACTCCTCGAGACGTTCCTGGATGGTGTGGTTCGTGACCTTAACAATATAAACAACTTCTCGAACGGTTCGCCGGAAGTTGTGCATCCGCGCAGCCATCAGAAGACACGCTCCACAGATACCAGACGGACGACGGCCCATGACAATCCAATCTTGCTTCATGCGGCGGACAAGGCGGACAGCATCTTCGGCGACTCGATTGGTCATATGCTTGAATTCGAGCTTGGAGGCGAATCGGTAGATGATGTCTTCCGGGAAGACCGGAGACTCTCCGCTTGGGAAGAGGCAAAGAGTCCTGGTCAACGCCTTGAAGGTTCTTCCTAATACAAACACGTTGACCTGGATAATGTCACCGATATCGATGAGCATGACGCGACACGGCCTTTCCATTCTGCATGCAGCGTAGAGGCAGACAGCTGCGACGGTGATGATCTTTCGACCCTGCGTGAAACCTGACTGGGAGGCGAGCTTGAAACACTGCACAGCGGTGTTGACAGTGTTATCGCTGAGATTGAGGCGCTGAGCATAACCCTGCATCAGGGCGCGAGCCTCGCGGATGGTCTTCTCTCTGTCGTCGGAGCCACCAACGCGGCGAAAGGCTGGGCCCATGCTCCTCACACCAGCTTGGTCAGCGGCGATATAGCTTCCCTGTACCATGGCGGCACCGGAAGAGGTCTCGCCAAACTGAACTTCGGCAACAATGTTGCTGTCATCGGCGACTCGACCGCAGGTTTGACAGATGCCGTCGACGACATTGGGCTTGACACAGGCCTTGTTCGGACATTGTGGACGATTCGAGATGGCGACAGTAGGGGGTCTTGCTCGGTTCTGTTGTGCCTGAGCAGCAGCGTTGGCTGCGGCGGCGGCGGCACTAGCTTGCTGGCGTTCGGCTTGCTCGCGAATGGCTCGAATGCGGTTTGGTGGTTGGAAAGGCTTCGACTTGGCAGCCGGCTTTTGGGACTTCTTGGTGGGTGTTAGGAAGGAGGACATTGTTTCGATGTCGGCGCCCTGCGAAGGCGGAGGCGACTCGATGGGGTGTCGGGAGGCCTAGGAGAATTTTGTCGAGAAAAGTAGAGTTGTTTGCAGCATGGGCGTTCGGGAGATGCGGAATGCGAAGTTGTGAATGGCCTCGTGAACGTCCCCTTTCCTCCAGCACCAGGCTACAGAGGTTGCCAGTCTACTTCACCTTCGCACCTTCGACAACGTGGATAAAGACAATGGCGTGCGCAGGCGTGGCTCGGTGGGAAGTTGTCGACGCGTTCGGTGATGTGGGCAGTAGAAATGCGATGGGCGAATAGAGTGTAAGTGAATTGAAGACGGAGTCTGCTATGGATTGTCTGCAGAGGGATACTGGTGGTTGGCGAAATGAGGTGAAGAATGGGAAATTTTGTGGGGTTGGCGACGAGATGGTCGAGCGGGGGAAGGTGCACGTTTGTGAGATGGGAGGCAGGTGCGCAGTCAGTGGTGGGATGTAGGCATTTGCTGAGTCAATCTCCGTTACCTTCCATAAAAGGGAATATCCACTTTTTCGTGTTTGTTCCAGAGCTGCTGGTTCGAATCTGCGTCCGTCTTCACAACTATTTCAACAACGCAACGGAGATATCTACAGCCACATCTACCGCCTCACCGATGTGGCTGTTGAGATTGTTTGTCCCTTGAACTGAAGGTTGCCTGTTATCGACTTGAAGAACTCGATCGGTTGAACTTACCTTGCTGGAACTGCTTCCTAATTAGGCAGTATTCCCAGCAATGCATATCGGCGGAGACTCCGCTGGTAACCGGCGCCAGCCAATCCTCTGGGCTCTCCCACCTGCGGGCCGAGTCACTTCTGCTTTGCCCCGCGTACTGAGGGAATCGCGGGGCAACTTGCAGTGACATGTAGGTTCAAGCGAACATTCTCTCGACACTTGTCCTGATCATGAGGCCTCTTTGGATTCATAAGCATTCTAAGTGGGAATGAAGACTCGCGTAGCTTCTCCTTTCAGGTCTATAGCGCTACGAACTGATACTCCTCACCATGATTCTTTGTGTTACTGGCTCTTATGAAAAGCCCGGAAACCCAATTGCGCTTTAAGTACTGTGAAATCGGTTTCGGTATGGGCGGCTTATCGGCCCATTGCACCGTCACAACGACACAAGGTGAAGAGACCCTGCATGACACCTTAGATCGGCAAACAACCTACAAGTATGAATACTTCGTGTTGCTTACTGCGGGGCAAGTGCGTGAAGTCACCAAGTAGGTAGCTTACTTGGTAACTCTCACACCATCTGCACTGAAGTGTCCGGTGCAGAAACAGCCGCAATACCACTCTTGCTCAAGCCTATTTAAACCTCCAAGCACCCATCACTATTCCATACCTCATTTTCTCAACTTCGGTAGATCCACGCAATTCATACACATTAACTCTCTTTATTCTTGGCGAGTACCACACGATCAAGATACCCTAATCTAGTTAATCATGTCTTCCTTTACCCTTTCCGCTGCCCCCAACACAGACGTATGGAAGAAGCCGCCTGCTCACAACGTCTACGATGGTAACTTCGACTCCCTCCTCACATATGCCGCAAGTTAACAAACCCAGCTCCCACAAAGACGGTTCCGGCCAAGCCCCTAAGCCAATTCAAGTCTGCCAAAATCACATTCACCGCAGATTGGACCGAACAGTACGACCAAGCAGGCCTCATCGTCACCTTTGACTCTAACTCTGGCCGCGAAAAGAGATGGATCAAGACCGGCCTGGAATACTACCAAGGCACGCCACAGCTCAGCACCGTCGCCTGCGACCGCTGGGCCGACTGGAGCATTACCCCTCTCGCCGCCTTTGAGGACACCAAGAGCATCACTGTGCTCATCGAACAGGAGCGCGACTTCATGGGCCCGAGCTTCTGGGTGTACTACGTGAAGCAGGACGGCACCAAGTTGCCGCTGCGTGAGATTTGCTGGGTTTTTGGAGACGATGACTGCACTGGCAAGGATTGGAATCTGACTGTTGGCGCTCTGGTTGCTCGGCCTGCCAAAGATGCCAAGAGCGATCTTGAGGTTCAGTTCAAGGATTTTGACGTGCAGTGGTCTGAGTGAGCGTTGAACAAGATAGCTAAATACAAAGAATGTATCTATGACAATTTCGGTGCTCGAAAATGGTACAATGCACATCTTCAAAGATGCAATGGTCACAGGCAATCGAAGTCGTGATTATAGATTATTTATTATTTAATTAAGTCTAGTATGTCACGGCCCAGCGCCATGAACATTGTATTACATTGCTCGATGGAATTCAGCCCCCTATTTCCAATATTCGGGTATCATCCGTTTTCCATACCAAGTATCCAAGGTCCTCCTCTGCCCTCATCCAACAGTGCTTGATCAAGCTCGGCTTCCGGGGCCGTAGTACGTCCCGTCTAGGCCTGTTTCGGCTGCCCTCTCAGTTGTATCAACATTGGCTCCTGTCATTTGGCCTTTGTCATGCTGCGGTTGAAAAGAAGATTGCTGCGGCGAGTACGGGTAGGGCTGATATGAACCTGCAGGCTGCATCGGCGGCGGCCCGTTGATTGGCACCATGTAAACGGGAGGGGGGCGAGCATTGCGCTGCTTGCATTCAATACAGGCGCGGACGAAGAGGGTGAAATTGTCGATACTATGAGGTGTCAGCGATCATCCCGAGGCTTTCCGAAACACTCATATCGAGTACTTACAACAAGAGGGCAGTGAACGCCATTACAGTATCCTGCATAGAGGTGACCTGGCCACCACTCAACACCCACGACCGCGGACCGTCGCGGAGGATAACATTTGCAATCTCCCATCCCGTGGCCACCATGAAGACGAGCCAGAAGAGCAAGTGCATTCCGACGTGAGCTCCGGGATGGATTCCACGCCTCCCCCCTCTCGCGCAGATGGTGATGAGTTCAGAGGTTTCCCAACACACAAGGGCGGCTGCCTACAAGCCGGTTAGATATCAAGTGTTCCCAATTTCAACCGCCATGCTAGGAGCAAAATGCTTACGGGGAATCCGCTGAATACAAGATAGAATGAACTTGAAAATGAGTAAAACATGAGAGAGAGCGAGATGCCGAGGACGATGGCGCTGAACGCAATATTGAAGCCGCGAATGACAATCTTTGCTCGGTGCCATTTTGCGCTGAACGGGATTTCTCGAGGAGCTTGTTGCGCGTATGGCACGTAGCCTTCGAAGCCATCAGGCGGTGCGTACTGCGATTGTGGTGCGTACTGGGTTGAAGCCATGATGAATCCGAGTGGCTCAGTGAGCGTCTTACACACCTCGACAGCGACTTTGCAATACGAGAGTCCACGATTCTGGTGTAGTCCGAACCGCAAAATGAGCGACAACGAAGCCGATGGCGCTTTCAACGCGAACCGAAAAGGAGCAAGAGGCACAGGCGTTGGCTCAAATTTTCGGCACCGGAATTTTGGCTCATTTTATCGCACGACTGTGCCGCTCTTCTAACGGTTTGGTGCATGATACAGGCACCGGCGCGGTAACAATCGCGTCCCAAAAAGGACGGCGCCCCTGGGCTAGAACCAGTTGGCGGCGGAGATCAGGGTCTTGCCATTGGACCACTATTTTGGCTCATATGGGCCTTAAGCAGAACCCTGTCAGCTGTGCCGCTGGCTGCCTACACTACTGCGTAGACACAAAGAAACCCCAGTTCGCGCCACGAGAGCTGAAGATGCACTACGATTGCGAGATCGAGGGAATGACGGTCCTCGAGGGGATGAGAAATATATTGGGACTTATGCCTGGACCTCGGTTGCCGCTGCGCTGGAGGTTTTCTTCCACTGAAAGATCTGGCAATATGACTCTCTCATGTCTGTAAACCCCAGCATTGGTCGTCAGCTATACAATGGTAATTCTTCCGGATGTCTGTCTCAGTTCACAGAAGCGCAGCGGTGGCTGGCAAAGGCCCCACCAAATATTATGTACGAGACCGAGGCCCCCTCGGTCATCGAAATCAATCAATCCAAGTATCGCCGTCACGGCTACCCAGAAAACCGCGAATGTGCTGTTTCTCCAATATTGTTGGTCTCTGCAACGACTTTCGCGATTCGGGCGCTCGATGGCTCCTGGCTGGTCTCGAATGTAGGTATCAATTTTTGGCCATAATGACGAGTCTACTCTCTCTGCAGCACCACTACCAAGCCCATTATTCCCAGCATTGCCGTCTTCAACCACGGATATTCTGAAAGGAGGATCGTAACGTAGCCGACGAAGGGGATGTATGCGACGACGCTGCCGATGATGTCCTTGCGCACAAGGTAGTCCTGATCCTTGGCATAGAGCTCTGCTTTTTGTCAGTCTTTACTCACGGAGAACTCTGAGGGACGGAGCCACGAACCAGTGTCATCGGAGTTGTTGTTGTCGCCCTTGGTAAGGAGCTTCGCTTCCGGTCTTTAACGAGCCTCTCGGTCAGCAAGGAAGGCAATGGGAGACAGAGTGTAAAAGTAGCTTACCCAGAGCCGAATCTGCGAACCACTCTGTGAACAATGGGAATGTTCTTGCCCTTGACTTCGTAGACAACGATCTCGCCAACGTCGGTTTCCTGGATCAGGTTGCGGTTCCATAGGAAAAGGAGATCGCCTCTCTGAAAGGCAGGCTCCATGGAACCACTGAGAACGACTACAATCGGGCTGGGGGAATCGGAAATCACGGAAAGACCCTTCCACATCTGCCACTGAAGTTAGCAAGAGCTTCTTTGGGGAGGGCCGATGTGCACACCATAAAGGCAGTCGAGAGGATCAGCGCAAAGTTGAGCAGTTGCGACGCTGCCTGGCGCGGGTTTCCGAGACTCGACAACATGTTTCCGGCGGTTCTGATAAGTGCGGGCGGTGTTGTTGGTAGCGTCGTCGGTGGTGGCAGGTTTCGGGTCGTGATGGTCAGTTTGGAGTTGAGTTCTGGCCAGCAACGCACCTTCCTTGAAGCTGGAGGCAAGAGCAAGAGCACAGGCCAGCTGTTTTGCAGACGTGGAACGTGTCAATGGAGATCCTGAGGTACGTACTCTGCTTATCTTATCGGTTCTCGCCAACGGCCGGCTCAAGACGGGTGTGGTGCACAGACCACCGTTTATTCTCCTGCTTGGAGCTCTCTGGTCCAGTGAGCCTGCCTCATCCAACATCTCCAAGCTGCGAGCTGCACCTTCTTCGTAGGTAGAACCACAGAAGTCATGGTACATGAAGTATTCCTGCAGCTTAAGCATCAATCGAGTCCAATGTAAACCATAACATGCGTTGAGCACCATTCCTCCTGCAGGAATGTGCTACAGGTCAAACACAATAAGCTCCTGCTCACCATAGGTAAAGTTAGGATATTCGCGTTCAAGTGAAATACAAGAACTCACCAAAACCCATCCTGGATTTCCCAGTATCAAGTTACAGCCCTGATCTCTTTATCTGATCTCAATGGCTTACTTGCTATCTACCACAAGTGGCACGCACAATGTCTTCCTGACTGACTGACAGCCGACGCTGCCCGTTACCTTCCTTCCTAAACCTCAACTGGGGCATCACAGACCACTCACTTCCGTCCGCTATCGTGGATGAATGAGACAGGCACATATGTCAGACATGACTTCCTTCTTTGGATGTCATAGCCTACATCGGCAGTCGCAGATTCACCGACAGGTGGAAGGCAGCAGCTCCCTTCTAAAATATTCCACATGTCTCTGTCCCACGTTCTCCCATCGCATCCCCCTTCTCCTTGACCTGACATCCTCTCTCAGTCTTTTCCTCAAGCTCTTTGCCTGGTATTTGCCAACAAGCCGTCAGCCTTCTTCTGTAGATCAAGCATTATCAGGGCACCCAAAGCATCATCTCCCCCAGATTCCAAACTTCGACGACCTCTCTTCAGTATCCTGCCTACCCTCCGTGAGAAGCCACCGTGATGGACGCCTCCGTCACCACTCCGTTGCTCCACGGGCAGTCAGAATACCATGATGGACATGGTCTGCCCACGCCGGCATCCTATGGCCAGGTTCAAGACCATGTAAGCTCCATTGTCAATTACCAGGCATCTCCACGGCTTCGATTAACCTGTCTTCTTTAGCCTGCGTTTCTCAGAGCATGCCATTCACCCTGGCGGTCCTTCTCCCAGAACCACTTGTGCTGGGTTCGAGGTGGTATCGTTGCTTACTTGACCGCAGTCGGAGCTACGGTTCTTGATTACAAGCTGCGAAAAGAAGAGTCTCCCTACTCTGACTGGCGAGTGGTCTTTGACTTCTCCGTCGTCACCTTTTCTCTACTCTTGGCCTACCATGCGGTCGTACTGGTATGTCAACCAACAGCGTAGGTATCCTCGGTGATGACTTGTTGCTGACCTCGATCATTAATCCTAGGGCTGGACCTACACCCATCTCTATCATCCACACATCGAGGAGACCAGCACTGGCTGGGAGTATTGGGCATTGAGAACCCTGTCACTGCCTTACGACATGGCCAGTCTTCGCAAACAGTTCTACTTCACCTTGTTCTACACCATCACAACTGTTTTTACCTTCATGAACACAGTCATTTACTGGTTTGTTACCTTGGAGCACGACGACAAGAACACGGGAGAGCCCCCCAAGCCTCAGCCATCCGGAGGCTCCGCCATAGCCAACATGATTGGGGACTCTTTTGCATCCGAATGGACCAGCTTGGAAGACTCACACAAGAATGGGCCACATGAACCTTGTAAGCCATGACGTCTTGTTGATGTTAACTTGGTCTAATACCATAATCTCAGTCACGGAGATTTTCGGAAAGGGCTGGTACAAGGCCTTTGTCATCATCAACCTCTTCGGCATCACATCGGTCGTCTCTCTCATTGAGATCTTCTGGCTCAACAGCATCAAGCGCCCCTTTGTGAGTTGTCTTGTACCTGAGGCAAGAAACATACACTGACACGACTGGAACGGGCAGGGCGTTGGCGCACACACCTTGGGCGTCATCTTCTTCGCGGGTCTCTATCTCGGTTGGGCAGCCATCGGCAAAGTCGAGACTGGCGCCGATGCCTTTTACTGGCTGAACGAGAAGAATGTCGGATCCCGTGAGGCCGTGGTGGCATCGTCGATTGGATTTGTAATCCTTGCTCCCATCAGTGGGTTCCCTCTGGTACTTGGTGACTTTGACCAAGGTGATACTGACTTGTCGACTAGTGTACGCATTCATGTATGGTCTCGTTGGTATGCGCGAGAACATGGCCCGAGCTGCCCACACGAGACGGGTTGCCGCCGCTGCCGCGGTGGCGGGCCACTGAGGGACTTTCGGTCTAGACGGGTCTTGTCGGAGATGAACGGGGCAGGCGACGGGCGGTGAGCACGGCGGTGGTGGCCGGTTCCATCGGGCTTGGCCATGCGTCGTTGATAGGTACAGTGGACGGATGCCTCAGATTGTAGGATTGATAAGGCATGCATCGGGCTGGAGTCGAGGATGGTGTAGTGTACCGCTCGAGGCGGTGGAGGGCAAGATGCCAGGGAGGGTGAACATACGATTACCAAAATAACCTAGAGCATTATGACTTCCAACACGCAACTCCTAGATCTCCAGGGACCGAGGCACTGTCTGACGAATGAATTGTGATTGCTGGGAACTTGGAAGGGGAATCCACGACTAAGGTTGGCAGGTAATGGTATCATGGGGGTTGACGGGACGGGACGCGAGGGGAAGAGTGATGGATGGATCATGGAGCTGGGGGCAAGGAGCGGTGTTGAGGCGGTGATGCAGGTCACTGGGCTTACCGACGATGAAGACAGGCGGAGAGCAGGGATTGGGGGAGACAAGCGAGCGGGACGGGGTCGTGGTGGCTCTTGATGATTGGCGGCGGTGATTTTGTGCCTGAATCTGCCCGACTAGCGGCAAACGCCAATCTCGAAGAGGGATGCAAAGTTGACGATGTGATTTTGTCCGAGGAGGAAGTGGGAGGGGGGAGCAAGAGGAGGGGTTTGGTTGCAAGGGTTCGTGGATCGATCTATGGGCCAGAGAGACCAATACTGGGATATTGGGCTGAGAAAGGAGGAGGGGTTGAGAGTCGAGACGAGCCGAAGGAGGATTCTAGAAGTTGAGTCCGAAGCAACGGCATGACTGGCCTGGCAACTCAGAAGTGACTGAGGTATCCGTAGGTAAGGTAGGTGACTGATTATGGAAAAGAGTTGTCGTTCATGCGGCTTTGAGCGAGTTTGGATGGGGTTCAGAGTGGTTTGGATGAAATAAAGTTAGGTTGTGGCTAGTGAGACAGTGAGGTCTGAATGCGTTCACGACGGCGCTACTGAGACCAATGTGAAGCAGCCTGGGAGAGAGAAGGTAGACGCTGGCGAGCTCTCAGTCGTGGAAAGGCAGTGAACTGGGAGGAGGAACTGCGTGGTAAGGCACCTACACGCAAGTTCAGGTCTCCAAGTATTGCAGAGAGCATGAGGCTCTATCCAATCCCGCGTGGCAGGGCGGAAGCTTGGGCGATCCGGGGGAGGCGGCGATGAGGAGAGAGATGCAGAGGTGCAGAGGGTGCAGAGGTGCAGAGGGTGCAGAGGGTGCAGCATCTCGAGCAGTCCCGATCCTGCGAGGATAGAGTAGATGGCAACCATGGCAACCGTGGGCGGCATGTCCAGACGACGAACTCACCAACCGGAAGGGCAGATGTCGAGCCGTCAGTGAGTTGGCAGCTTGGCCGAATCAGTCGGATACCTTATCGATCACGGAATCTAGGTAGGTTGTTGGGCACTTTGATGAGGGTAGGTATGGGTGCTCATGACCCGGGCAACGAGCCAATGATGGTGCCAAGGGGTCGTCGACCGCCTTCTCGCGACTTCTTCTGGTGTTCATGAGGGATCCATGAGGCAGGTATCGTTTGACTCCTGAGATGCTGTCCTGAGGTGTTCAGGAGGTGACACAATCCTGAGGTGTCGAGTCCGAAACTGAAAGAGGGAAATGAGAAGAACCACCAAGGACTCGCGCAACTGAGGGAGCCCCGCGTTGCGACGACCTCACGTGCGGTCCTGACGACAGCGCATGCGAGGATGGTGAGGTGTCTCCGGATGAGGTTTCTTGGGCCGCCATTCCCGACTTTGGACCCTTCCGAATGTCTCTTGGCGGATTCGGGAGAAGGAACAAGAGGTACAAGATGGATGTACTTGAGCCAAGCCCAATTGAGAACATGAGGTGAAGAAAGATACCTGCCCAGAGGTACCTAAGTACTCCAGATCCAGTCTGCCAACGCACCGGGAGGCCCGTTCCCAATCTCGGGGGGGTCGGAGAAGGCACGGAGGGGAGGGGGAGGTCTCTGGTCTGGGCCCAGGGCCGATGGCCGGTGACCGTTTTGTTCCAGGGAGCCTCCACAAGTACCGGTATGTGTTATTGTACAGTACTTCTGGCACACGCATAGACATACTATGCGAGGAGGTACCTCAGATAAGAAGTTAGACTCAACTTTTAGGTCTGCTCCTGAGGCAAAGGGGGAAAGTGTCGGGTGCCTTAGCGGCTACTCCCCGGTTGGAGGCACGGCGGTTCCATGGCGGATACCCTGAGAAAAGATAGGTACGTATTTCTCTCACAATCATTCGTGTCAGTCTTCTATTGCGTATCCGTCCAGTCATAGAGCCGTTACATCTTGCGAGTAAGGTACTTGCTGCCATCCTGAAGTCACTCACTGCTTCCATGTCCTTGTTCCATTGGTGAAGCACAGAGAAGAGAGAGAGCCTAACAGTCTGCAACGGTGGAAGCTGAGTGGTAGACTGGCAGTTGGCAAGTACCGCGGGTGAAGTCACTGACATCCCCGACGTTCCATTTTGGTCGTGGTTAGGCTGAGATGCTGCCTGGGCTGTCCATGTCTGCCCGGTCCGCAGCTGGCAATGTGCCCCAACAGCGTTCATAGCCGTTCAGCTCTTTGCACCAGTTCCAGGTTTCCCCCTTCAAGCGTCAGCAACGCGCGCCAGTTGTTTACCCTGCCTGGTGAACATCAAGTACCTTCTGGCGTGAAGAGGGTGCTTGCGAGTACTTACAGTGAGTGCTTGGTGTTCGTCCTATCAAACACGCGGCTCGCACTACGCAACACACCTCCCGCCGCCACCCAGAAATGCGGCGGTTGGGAAGACGCCAACCAATGATACCCTACCAAAGAAGAGATCCAGCCTAAGAACATCACCAACTTAACGTGATGGTATAAATATGAAAGCCCCCCCTCCGCAATCCACCCCTCTTCCCTCTTGTTCTCCCCCTCCCCCCCCCTCAACCACAACCAAAAAAGGGTCGCAAAGTTGCAAGTTGGGAATACCTCCTTGGGCCGTTCGTTACTGAATTCCCTTTCCATAGGAGGCATCTCTCACCCCGGACCCCTAGTCAATCTTTTTGTGTGTCACTCGTCCCTCACTTCTCTCACTCTCTTCTCTCTCTCGCTCTATCCCCCACCACCCCCCTCCGATCCGAACACCCCTCCAACTTCGTCATTCCTCCCTCTCCTCTATTCGCTCATTTCGTCGCTCTCTACAAGTCTTCTTATCCCATAGACAAAGACATATAAGGTCCCTGGGCAACGCGCACTCCATCGTCTCAGCTTCCCTTGTCTTTAGTTTATCGTTCCCCATTCGAGTTGTCATTCCTTAATCAGAACAACAACATCAGCAACAGCAACAACAACTTCTTCGGGCCTACAACGCCCGCTCTCTCTTAGCAAACCACAACCGTCATGTCGTTGTTCAAGCGTACCTTCAGGTCGCAAGACCCCAATGTCCGCGTCGACAAGACGTCCAGGCTGAAGAAGTCAAGCTCGATCCGGGATCACCAGAAGCTATCGAAAATGCAGCAGTCCGTCAACGAGAAGCCCGCCATGGCCCCACCAGCCGCCCCCGCGCCGCTGCCGACCAAGACGGGCAAGTCCGTGGCCCCTTCACCCATCGTCACCTTGACCGTGGGACGCGAGGGTCGACTGTTTGCCGCTCACGAGGACGTCCTCTTCCAGTCGCCCTTCTTCGAGGCCGCCTGCCGAGGCCAGTTCTTCGAGTCGCAGAGCAAGAGAATATCCCTCCCCGACGAAGAACCCGAGATCTTCTCCTCCGTCCTTGAGTACCTCTACAAGGGTGACTACTACCCCCGCCTCGTCCACAACAGGCACCGCAACTCTTGGGAGCTCGAGGACGCCGTCAGAGGAACTCCCCAAACTTCCCCCAACCCCGAAAACACCCCCCGAGGCGGCCGCGCAGCCGCCGTTCCCTCTACTCCCACATCAACAACTACCGGTACCACCGCGAGTGAGGCAACAATCTTTGTCTCGGGCTGCGGGCAACACATCCTCCGCGACACCGTCATCTACTGCGCTGCGGAGCGGTACGGGCTCGAGGAGCTCAAGCGCCTGGCTCTGCGTAAGCAGGGTCTCCAGTCCGGTATTGATATCGGCACCATCCTGCGCTCCGCCCAGTACGCCTACGCCCACACCCCCGACTCGGACTCCCGGCTGCGCGCTCACTACCTCGCCCTGATCATCAGATGTCGCAAGACATTCAAGAGGAGCGGAACCATGCAAGCCGAGATGGAGCGCGGCGGTAGCAAGCTCTTCTTTGACCTGTTCGTGGCCATGTGCAACCACCTCGACGACGTTATCGACCACAGCAACGCGCGAACACCCAAGACCGTCTGAGAGGTTTCGGTTGACTTTCTTGGTCTTGTTGGTTGAGTTGACTCTCGACCAGACACAGCCAGAAAACACATGTACAAAAGCGATCATGGTACTGTCACGGCGTTCAACACGGTTGTTTTTCTTGTCATTTTGGTCCTTTGCCTTCCGGATTTGCATCACAAGGATAGGAGGTTGTCTTCTGAGAACTGCGATCCCACGGAGGTCTGCTTTTCATGCCGGCACGTCACTTTCTCCCCTCTCTCCCACACCAGATTGGAATCGTCACCATTTGGGAGCTGTCTTTTCTTTCTGAAAACCCATCTCCACTTCTCATCGAGGTTGGCCGAATAAACCTTTCTGGTGGATTACCGGAGTCGAGGAGGACTAATACCCCCCGCAAACGAGATACACTCCTCCCGCTCTTCTTGCTTTCAACTCTCTCTTCCGCATCATCTGGACAAAGATTCCCCCAAATACAGGATATACCGGGCCCGGGCGGTTTTTCTCTATCTCTCCATTTTACCAATCACTGGCGTCTACCCCCTTCTGAGCTCTAGTACTTTACTCCACGTTCACTCGTAGGTGGTAAGGGAACGGCTCAAACGGCTCATCAGAGAGCGAAAAGAGGAGGAAGTCGAAACGGAGAAGAGACTTGTTACCTTTTGATTTTACACAAAAACACAAAATAACGACAAAAAAAAAGACACCAACCCCAGCACCAAGTTTGTTCCACTCTTCAACTACTCTGCTTACTTGGGATCGACAATTTACGGGGGACGGCGCAACTCCAACAACAACTCTCATCTCTCCATCGGGAACAACGGATTTTGGGCGTTTACGGTATTAGACATACCGGGGCACATCAGTTTGGTGCCAGCTACCATAACAGATTGTGTTTTTTGTCTTCTTTCCATCATTTTCTGAGATTACGGATGTCTTGAGGATACGTACGGGATGTGCCCGCCTCCGACTCCAGGGCAGGCCGAGGAAAAGATCATGTACAACTCTCAACAGCGCAACAAGGACCAGACTTTTGCGCTCTTATTCTTCTTCTTCTGGCCTTGCCAAATCAACAACTCAACAATAACCAAAAAAAACGGAAAATCTCCCAAGCAAACAAAGCATGTCAAGACTGAACGACTTAACACACCACATGCTTTCGGATCTCATTTGTCTCTGGGAATTTTAGGAGGATGCAACTCTTGTTTTTTCACGCGGTTTTCTGCATTGGTTCCTGCTTTTGCGATATAGCCTAGGCGGATTGGGAATATCATCCCTAGTGGATTGGTTCTCTTGGACCTGGCTTGAGCCCTCGTCAGGGCGTGGTAATGAGAAATTTCGGCCACCTCATGGATTGTTCTTCTTATTCTATGTGACTGTTTGCATGTTTCCAAGTGACTATATGCCCTGTGTGATTGGCTCTCTTGATGTATACCCGCATGTTAAGTGACTCACGAGCCTATATCCAGTTATGATTTCAATCACCTAGTAATCACCACTCCAAGCGTTTCTATCAAATTGTGATTGACCAGTCACTCATGCCATGCTTCCTCTGACGATCCGCACACCTTCCAGAAGTCTCGGTCATAAGTTCAAGTTGCCTCAGCGATCGTCAGGCGACCAGAGACAACATGAGAAAAAGCAGTCATACAGGGGCCATCTGCCCATTTATTTGCTTTTCCAAGAGAGACAAGAACCTCAAACGAACGCCGATCCCCATTCGACAATGTAGCGAGACATAAAACACGACTGCACCTATTTGAATTAATCAACAAGTATTCGCACGTAAGCACGGGTTTTGACTCGACGTTATGATCGTTTCTCGGCTCTATCGCAGTGATAATATTGTTGTTATTGTTTGTCTCGCCACAAGGCACAGACGTCTGCGCTCGTTCGTGGTGGCAAGTACCACTCGCTACCCAAGCGACCCGAGTAACGTGCGACGTCGCCGGCGTGATGTTGCACGTTCGTCCCCTCTGGCGCGGCGGTGCCTGGGAGATGTGGTACAGATGTAACCTGCCTTTTGGTTATCGAGGCGCCGACTCGGCTCTGTGGCCTGTGTGATGGATATGAACCCCCAAAGTTCGGCACTTGAGTGAGGCTGCTCCGACTACCACAGTTCTGTTTCTTTGGAACATTGTAGACATGTCTGTTTGTAAATGTCGCGTAGAGATGGGATAATGTCACTACAGATGTTGTAGGAAGTATAGAAGTCATAAGCAAGATGAAGCCCGTCCTCTGCAGGTCCCGATTTCCCTTTTGCGCAATCTTCTCTCATACACTAGGTCCCCGAGTCCCTTCCAAACTGTAAACATTTGGCCGGTGAGACATTTTGCGGGTGGGAAAAGACGTCAGGTGCGAAACTAGTCAATCTGCACGACACAATGAGACCGCGGGACTCGGGAGGCGACTGCGTTAGGCTTTGGGGCCTTGCCAGCGTGCCATCGGTGCAGCAAAGTGTGATGTGATGCAGACTGACTAAATGAGACTATGAGAGACAGGTTAATCAGGGACGGGCGGGCGCTGCACCAGAACCGAGACTCGGAGGGAGATCGTGTGTGACCCCTCGCATGCTGGGTAGGCACGGCAGGGTTCGGTGAGGAGTGGGATATATAGTTGCTTTCGCCCGTCTGGATGTTGTGGTGTTGGGCTTGACTTGGAGTTGACCTGAATGCTCATTGTGCGTTAGCCACTTCGAACCCTCCAAGAACGACCTGTTTTGCCCCGGCGCTCGTTCAACCCAGCCACAGTCAATCGAACCCAGCTTTGTTAGCGTATTGACCGAATTCACCACTGAGAGAGAAACTTTGGCAGCAGCGATAAAACACGAAGGGTAAGTTTGCCATTTATCTCCTAGTCCTTGGCGTAGGTTTGCGCAGCTCGTCTCAAGTCCGTCAAGACTTTCGGGAGCTGAGCACCCCGGAACGTTTGCCGGGCAAGAGAAGCTTCTCTATTGTTAGCGATTCCCGCATCCCGCGTCTGCCCCCGCGTTCTTCCGCCGCTTTCGTTTTTGTTTGCTTTCTGGTCTTGTCTTCTTGGCTCGGATTATTGGATGCTGCGAGCTTCTTTGTATTGCAATTCCTCGGATGGAATTCCCGTCCCTTGTTCCCACCGAGTGGACAGGGCCCTTGTTGGTATCCGCACCGGGCCGGAAAAGCGGGGTCTGAAATGCTGCAGTTGGGATTGGTCAATTGCCGGAGCTTTGGGCCAGGGGTAAAATTGAACCCTTTTTTTGAGTTTTTGCGCCTTGCTCAAAACACGTGGTTTACCGTTTAGCAGTTACTCTTTTTTGTTTTTATTTGCAGAGGAAGGAGGGATTGAGTTGACTGGACTGTTTCAAGCTGACAGGTGTGATAAGTATCAATTTCAGGATCCTTCCTTCTGTTGCGCGACGACTTCCATGAGGCAGTTGCGACTCTGAAGCTATCGTCACTGGTGACCTCCCGTTCCTTCCTCTCGAATTTTGGCCCCGGGTGGCCCCTGTCATCTACCCCACTCTTTCGGTCCCGTGCGCCTGGATTGAGATTTGCACCTGGAGGGGTCGACTTCAGGCACAGGCAGGAACTTTCTATCGCACTTCCACTGCAGCAAGTTACACCTTCCACTGCAATCTGAGCATTGGGCAGCGGGCTTATTCGTACAGGTCTGCGGGTGAGCGAATCTTCTTTTCCTTCCATTCATCTTCCAATTTAATTTGCCCATCTCACCCTCGTTTCCCCTTGTCATCGTCAAAAAGTTCCTTCGAATACGCAGTCGAGAGTGGGTGCAGGCGAGGAGCAAGCCAAAGTTGGATGCCCATCGTCATACGGCACTCATCCCTCCCTCGTCTCGTTTTCATCCAGTCTTATCCAACTGCGCCGTCAATTCTCTCCAGAGTACCATTCCCCTGGGTGCTGGACATCAGCTATCGTTGAGCAGACATGGATGGAACATGATTCGCCCTTGCGTCCCTGCTATCTTGTCTGATGTGCTATCGGCATTGCGCAGCCATCCCAGTGGTGACGCCGCACCACGCAAGACGTTTCAATGCACACTGCGAAAAGAGAGACGCATTCCCCAGCCCAGCAGAAGGGGGGGGGGGGGGGCTTGGGGGTCAATAATACCATTCTGGGGCTAATAATACGGCCGTTGCGCCATGTTCAGTCACAACCACCACCTTATTCGACAGACCACCCAATATTACCTTCCGGTGAGATGAGGGAGCGCAATCAATAATTCAGGTCATACACTTTTGTCCGACTGTCCGTCATTTTCCCATTGACACATACTTTCTGACTTGCCGCCTTGGCTTGGGCTACCTTACGGAATACGGATACCTGCCGATACATCTCGCTTTTTCAAGATTCAACGCCCTTTGGCTTTGTCTTTGGGCCGCCGCCGCCGCCGTCGCCGCCTTTCTTTCACCTGTCAATGCGACGCTGGGCAACTGGATCAATCTGAGCCTGACTTTTGGCTTCCCACGTCTTCCGCGCTTCCATCGCCTTTCCCTTTTCTCTCGGCTCACTCTCAATTTTTCTGCCTGACCCCCCTTTATCGACTAAATCCTTCCTCCATCCCCGATCTGGTCAAGGGCAGAGAGATCAACGCCCAGAATTAAGAGTCCTGCCTGTCAACCATACTTTTGTCGTCACTCGGAGCAACCAATTAATCGATCTGGAGTCGGACTGTGTCAATCATTCCGCCCAATTCCAACCCACGCACCACTGCCAATCACGTCCAACAACACCCACCCACCATCTCTCTTCTCAATCTCATCTGATCGAGCGCAAGGGGCGGACAAAAAGTGAATTTTAACAATTCCAGGGGCATAACCACCTATGCTTTGAGGGCAAGGCCGCAATGCCGCAACAATAATTAGAAGACAACCAAGAAAACCTCGAGCACGGCCCCCTCTTGATCTCCTCTTCTCGGTCGATCAACGCGAGAATCGAGACAAGACGAGACAATCCGCAAGAAAACCAGAGACGCTATCCCGAACACGCTCCGCTTCACCCTGTCTGCAGCTGCAGCCACCGCTGCCCGCATCAACGTACTCGTACCAGGACGCCAGATCCATACCCTTTTTTTGCTTTCCTTTACACTACATGCAGTACGCCGCCAGTACCTGACAGCTACCTCGCGACCGCTGCTGGTCATCCTGCATGAACACAGACGCCGGCCTCGCTGGTTCTGGACACCGGACGCTCCAGAGTCTCCCTGGCTCTATCCACCACTCGCAGTTGGTCGCCCGCGCCTTTCCTCGTGCGTCTGCGCTCCCGTAGCCGTACCAAACCACCATACCTTGCCAGGCACACCAGGCTTGTCGACCTTACCGACTCCGCGTACCTGCGCCAACGTCTGCTGGTCACGTTCACGTTCTCGTTCTCGCCGCCGGTGTTCAGTGCTAGCGAAAAGACGCGAGCCTTTCCAGGCCTTTCTCTACACCCGATCCAGAGTGAGATCCTATCCCTTTCCTCGCCAATCCGCCGACACTCGTGGACCGTGGTGCAGCCCGGATCCCGATCGACGCACGGTAAGGGGCTCGCGGCCGCCCTAGTTCACCGTTTCCATTGTTCCTGCTGGGTCTGTCACTGTCACAGTCGCAGTCGCAGTTGCAGCTGCCACCCGGACCCTCTTCTCATCCCATCTCACCACCCGTTGGGTTGTTTGTACGTACAGAGTACTCTCGCTGTACGACTCTGCTTCTGGAACGGTACTGCATCCTGCACACTGCACACTGCAGCCTTTCTGCTTGCTGCCCACCACAAGCACGCCGCCCCGACCGCCCGCCCGCCTACCGCAGCAGTCAGTCCAGCAACTGTTCCGTGCCCTCTCCTGGATCCTGAGGCCGGTTCCGTGTCGTCCTGCGCTCGCGTGGTCTGCTGGTCTGGTTTGGGCACTTTGGTCTGGTCTGGCGTGGTCCGTCGACTACCCGTAACCTCTTTCTTTCTCCCTGCGTCGCCATGGACGACTACGATCCAAACTCAATCCCCCCTATCCCCCAGCGCTACCGGAATCTTCAAACCCCTGAACCTCAGCCGCGCAACCGCTCTCTTCCACCACCTCCTCCGTCGCGCCACGCCGATGCTGTTCCCAGCTCTCCCGAGGTCATCTCTTCTCTCATCACCAGCTTTGCCGTCATAACCAAGCCCGCCGACCAACACTTTGAGCGCAGCACCCCGAGCTTATCAGTTCCCGCAACCCCTCGCCAAGGCAGCTTTGGAGTCGACTACGGCGCCTTTCACCAGCCCTCACTCGAACAACTCCGGAAAGAAGACCTGCCACTCGACGAGATCGCCGCATCCGCCCCCGTTATTCGAACCGCCAAACCACCCTCCGGATTCTCGCCCTTGACCGCCCCCAAGTCCTCACCCGCTCGCGACGGATCCGGTGGCCTCAAGTCCCTCTTGCGAAGTTCTTCGAGGCCCTCTTCCAAAGGTTCACTTGGGTCACGGGATGATGCGCAGAGCATAGGCAATCTTTCTGTAGAACGTGGCTCTGCGCCCACCCCAGAGCTCAAGAGACAGCGCTCATTTGACAGTTGGGGTAAGAAGCAGGGTAGAAGTCACAGGGGATTAATGTACATGAGTTCCAAAGAGCGACTACGAGAAAAGGAAGAAAAGAAGCGCGCGAGTATTGGCGACCGCAGTTCCAGCAGCTTCACCGGAGCCTCCCTACGACCCGATCCCTTCCTCGCCGAGACGCCCATCAGCGAAGAACCCGCCTACACACCAGACTCTCCTACCCGTGGAAGCGCCCGCAAACACCACGAAATGGCGAGCCCAGGCCCCGAAACCGCCAGCAGCCCTAGAGCGATACCCGCGCGAGACTCGTCTCTCTTCAAGACGGGAGCGAATGCAAAGAGATCCTCTACGAGATCCTCTAGATCAAAGAGAGAAAGCGCCAATAGCACCAACGAAATAATATTTGAAGGAGAGGAACAGACCTCTTCAAGGGAGGCACCGAGGCGGAAACACTTGTCTCGCCATGCTTCCGAAAACGACCTCGCTAGAGCATCGGCCGACGCATCCGGAAGGTCTTTCAGCCGCCCATTCTTCGAGTCCAGGCATACCGAGAACTTTCTATCCACAGGACCGTTATTTGAAGAAGAGGACGTGGAGGATAGTGCACCGTTCCCCGCTGTTGCTCAAGGTCGTCGTCGGGATGAGCAGATCGCCGACCGGAATAGTAGGCGCAAATCAACACGCGAGGCCCCAGACGCAGGTGAAGCCATCAAGATGAAGCGCAGTAGCTCCAGACTCAAGCGGCTCTCCCAGCCGCTGAGTCCCAAGGGAGATGAGTCGCAGGCCAGCTCACGCAACTCTGCAGCGTCGCCCGATCCACGCAACAGCATGCCAGCAGGGTATGAGCGTCCCCGCAGTGCAGACTCGATTGACGATGCCGTTGAGTCGTACCTGTGTTCTCCTCGCCTATCGCAAAAGATCCGACACCCGCAAACCGGGCGTGTGATTTCCTTCTCTGAGGTGGGAGATGCAGATGGCTCGGCTGTGTTTTGCTGTGTGGGAATGGGATTGACGAGATATATCACGGCCTTTTACGACGAGCTCGCGTTGACGCTGAAGCTTCGTCTCATTACACCCGACAGGCCTGGCGTTGGCGATAGCGAGTCGTACGCCGATGGAACTGCGACGCCACTCAGCTGGCCCGATGATGTCTATGCCATTTGCCAGGCGCTGAAGATTACCAAATTTTCGATCCTCGCCCACTCTGCGGGCGCCATTTACGCGCTGGCTACTGCTCTCCGGATGCCCCAACACATTCGGGGCAAGATCCATTTGCTCGCGCCCTGGATCCCGCCGTCTCAGATGAACGTTTTTGGCACGTCGCAGGCGTTACCACCGACCAACGCGATTCCTACCTCGCAGCGCATCCTGCGAGCGCTCCCGACAACCTTTTTGAAGGCTGCCAACAGCTCGTTCATGTCTGCGACGAGTAGTTCCATCACCAGCTCGCTGCCCAAGAACCCCAGACGCAGCAAGCGCAAATCGACCGCGACCACTGGCCGGGACACCCCGGCGACGCATGGGAGCAAGCGGGACACGACACCCCACCTCGACAAGGAAAACCTTGGCTTGAATTTTGATCGCAACAGCACAGGTGACGACCTGTCTGGTAGACCTACGCTGCCCGCCACAGAGACCATGGATAGAATCAGGCCAACCGGCACGGCATCAGCGCAAGGGCACTACGATGCCGATGCACAGGTCATTGCTGCTGCGTCGGATGCGTTGATGGATAAAGAACGTCAGACAATCTACGACACGAGATTGACGCACGCCATTTGGGAGCTGGCCACAACAGGAGCCAACCCTGCCGTAGACTTACTGGTCTGCCTGGAACGCAGGCACACGATCGGTTTCCGGTACGTTGATATCACACGGCCTGTCGTTATACACCACGGCAGCCGTGACACCCGTGTACCGGTTGACAATGTCAAATGGCTTGGCAAGACGATGAAGCGCTGCGAGGTGCGCGTTCTCGAAGGCGAAGGCCACGGCTTGATGGCGAGCGCTGGTGTCATGGGCGCGGTGCTCATGGAAATTAGCAAGGAGTGGGACGACTGGCTGCGAGCCACTTCCAAAAAGGACGACCGCGGCCGGAGAACTGGTACGCGGTAAGGGGACCTCGATGTTGAGGTCAGGGATTCCCCCATTTTACGGTCACATTTTTTTTTCTCTTTCTTTCTTTCTACCTTGGACACTTGAATGACCTTGAACCATTGATGATTTGACCTACACCTCTGATTTATATCCAATACCTACGTAGGGGGGAGTTTTGTAATTATTCTCAGGCGGCCCATGTATGATGCGTGGTTGGATACCTTTTTGCGTGGCATCGGCGTCGAGCGCGTCTGCAGGCTTAGGGCGGGCTGGTTGGTTGATTGGGAGTCATGGGGACGAGCTTCGAAGGGGTTCCGAAGCCGTAAGGAAAAAAGACACCAGGGTCGGCAGGGTTATTTCATGAAGCGGCCATTGTTGAAGAGCATCGCTCCATAGTATATAGCAGTAGTACAGCATCGGCTTGTTTTACCGCACAGTAGCTGCGGACAAACACCGAGTAATGTGTTAATACGATCTCCTTTGTGGAAAATAATGTCTTTCGGCAATGTCTGACGGCTTTCTTGTGGCTCTTTTCCTTTTAGGCCTGAGTACCTAGTTGTCTTGAAGTCGTCCAGGTTCCATTGCCTCCAGAGACCTCAAGGGAATCGTAGTGAAAAACATGATCTACGACCCTCCTCGTGGAATCCATATCCCACCTTTGTTGGTGTGCTATTCTCTCTCCCTTGCCCGAGTCTCATTCGAAATAGATAATTGAGTGGAAGTTGACAAAGTGAGATTACCTCATGTAAGGTAGTGAGAACCAAATACATAAGACTACCCTCTCATAGGAGCTTCCATACAAGTTGCACAACGGCCACCCGAATTTCACAATGCCGCTTCCCGTCTGACCGATCTCACTCTTATCTGCGGCTGAGTCCCAGTGCGGATCTCGATCCAAGACATGCGCACGCAAGCCCACCCGCCCCAATATCCACCCACGCATCCACACAACCTCTCCCAGCCCAACTTAGTCCACAACAAGACCATGGATTGTCATCAAACCAGGCGAAGTGCCAGAGTGGTTAATGGGTGTGCCTCGAATTAACTCTGTATTTTCAGAGCCTTTGTAGCACATGGCTTCGGTCGCGCAAGTTCGAATCTTGTCTTCGTCGATATTTTTGGATTTTTGATGGTTTTGATTGGGTTTTGGGGGGATGTGTGTGGTTTTTTGCCCTTTTGCGCTTGAGGAAGGACCCACTGGGCCTCCTTAGCTTTATTTCTGGTTCTGATACTCTCTCATTGCTCTGTTGTGTCGTGCCGTTGCTGGCCGACCTGAGGAAGTCAGCTTGGCCAACTTCAAGTGAGAGATGTCACGGTCTACAGGACTTAAAGTATCAGGAGAAGAAAATGGTGGAGAAATGACACCACGTTATGCTTGAGGTCATTTAGAGTTATCTTGGACAACGACTCAAACAGAGTTGCTCTTACACATTATACCCCCTTCTGCTAGCCTGGCCTACCACTCTTTGTTCCTTGTCCTACCTATTCCCATCTAGCCCCCTCGTAAAATCCAGGGCAAAAAACCGCAGACCAGCGAGGACAAATACTGGAGATAATACTGGAGAGGGCGGGACTTAAGAGAGCGATCACAGCTGAAATCTAATGGACTCAAGAAAACTGTCTGTCACTGGCCAATTTGTGGACCGAATAGTCAAAGAAATTTTTGTCCAGGTCGAGGAGCAAAGGAAGGCAGAACACCAACCCTACGATATGTAGGATCAGGACGAACCGTCTTAAAGCAAGGTTTCGGGCCATGATTCTCCAAGACCAGCCCCGGGCCGGTGCGACGGAGCAAAGTGGGGCCAAGCAGTCCGCGACGAGGTCGGAATGCAGTCCGGCTTGGGACGATTAGGGAAGCGACCTCCTTCCTCTGCCGAGTGGTTGAAGTTTGATTAACGACCTAACTTTGAATGTACGGAGAAACACTCTCAGGCCTCAACCATCTCAAGATACCCTGTTTGATGCAGCTCTGGCGCTAGTTCATGGTGGGACGCAAGAATCAACACACCCATGCGACGCTACGTCATGGCTGCCAACGTGCGCCTGGATGATGCTGCTGCTGCTTATTTACCATGCGCCCTCCCATCCATAAGCGCAGCCCTATCACCAAAGCCATGAGTTCTTTGCCAAGTCGCAAAGTCTATCGCCGTTCTCAATCTTGAGACTGATATCTCCATCAAGACTTTGGTTTCATCCTCTTGAGTTGGACTCACCTACTCGACTCTAACTTCACTTACACCTGACCTCAGCCACACTCATCTCATCTTATAGCAGCAGCTCACCACACCTACACACTCAACACCATGGATATCCTCCTCTCCCTCCCGATAGTCTCCTACTTCCTCGCCCCCTCCATAACCTCCTGGACGACCTCTCTCAACCTCCTCTTCTTCTACATGACCTGGACAACCCTCGTCCTCTCCCACGGACCCCTCAAGATCCAGCTTCTCGGCGCCGTCGCCATCCGCCTCATCCTTTGGCTCATCCCCTCCCTCGCCTTCCTCCTCTTCGACACCCTCCTCCCCTCCCTCTCCGAATCGATAAAGACCGCCGGCGCCGCAGCTCTCCCGCCAACACACGGCCCAACCATTCTCAAGACCCTCGCCCTCGCCCTGTTCAATCTCGCCCTGTCCGCCGCTCTCGAGGGGGGCACAAGCCTGGCGTACGCATCCTACTTCCGCGAACCCCTCTTCCGCGCATCCTCAGCCCTACCGCTGCCGTTCCAGCTCATAAAGCACGTCGCCTTCCTGATCGCCGCACGCGAGGTCCTGACTTACTACATCCACACGCGCGTCTTACACTCCCGCGGCAGACGCCTCACTTCTACGCGCGTAGGCAAGCTTCATGCTTCGTACGCCCATGTCCGCGCCGCGCCGCCATTCTCGCTGATGCTCTTCGCCGACCACCCGATTCCGTTCCTGCTCCATCGCATCGTGCCCATCTTCGTGCCGGCTGTGGTCCTTCGTCCTCATCTATTGACGTACTTTCTGTTCGTTGGCTTCTGTACCATTGAGGAGACAATGGCCATGTCTGGGTACAGCGTCGTTCCGGGTATCGTCATGGGCGGAATCACGCGTCGGACAGCGATTCACTATGCTGGGCAAGGGGACGGAAACTTTGGTGCCTGGGGTGTGTTGGATTGGGCTCATGGCACGAGCGAAGGGCAGGACGTGATTGATGATATGAAAGCTGAGGCGGAGAAGCACCGAATCAAGGAGCGTAGTGAGAGGGCGGCCAACAATGGTGTTGGATTCGTGCAGGGTGGCATTCAGGAGTTGAAGAAGGGCCGCGGACGCAAGGGGAAGAAGAGCAGCTGAGGAGGATTTTACTGGTTTCTTATTTCCTTTCTTGTGAGTTTGGATGATTCTGCTGTGCGATGAATGCAGTTGCTTGTTATATGTTTCGAGGATACCCCCCCAAATCGCCAAACACGTCTAAGTATCTTATATATATACCGACAAAGTCTACACCAAACCGTGTGTTCCAGTCCCCCAGGTCCCTGATCCGATGCGCCCAAAGGCAGGCTCCTGTATATGTGTAAGCAAATCCAGTGAATCAAAATGCTGCCTACCGCCCTTCTACACCCAGTTGTTCTTCTTCTTGAACCACTTGAGCGTCTCCAGCGCCGCCTGCACACGCATGCCCAACCTGGCATCAAACACAAACGCCTCCCACGCGACGACCTTGTCGAGCCACTCCTGGCACTCGTTCATCTTCTTCTTGCGGTAGTCTGCCACCGCCTTGACCTGACCCTCGGCGTCTGTGGGCTCGTCTGCCGCGGCCTGACGCTTCTCGGGTTGGCAGCACTCGAACCAGGCCACGGCGGCCATCTCGTAGTGGGCTGTCGGCAGGGGATACTCGTCCTTTGTCGGGCCCTTGAATGCCGCTCTGTCATGTCGTTAGTACCAGTCTTGCGAATGTTACTTCTCAGAGGTCACAAGCCAACGTACCTGTCTGCGTTGAGGACTTCCGTCTGCAGAATTGTCCTCGCGTCCTCGAAGCGTCCCAGGGTCCTGTAGATAGCCGCAAGGCAAATCGACCGGATGGAAGCCTCGTCGGGCGTCTTCTTGACCTTCTCCAGGGCCTCGGCCGGGAGAGTGCACCGCTCCCATCCCAGACTCTTGATCGACATGTGCAGCTCCTCGTCGTTCATCCTCTTTGTACCATTCCACAAGCTGACCATTTCCTGCGCGGGGCTGACGCAGACGGCATCCGCCAAGTCGACCTTGAACTCCTTTGCGCGCTCCTCCCACTTTTGAATCTTGCGCGTAATAAAGGTATCAAACGGAAGCTGGCGCGCCATGAACTTCTTCCGTCCTGCCGTCGTCGGCGCCTTGCGGAACAGCTCCTCGGCCTTCTTCTTGCGGCGGCGCATCTCGTCCTCGTCCTTCTTCTCGGCGTGGAAGGCGTCGCGGTACAGCTCGAGCTCGGCGCACCCGGCCATGTAGTAGTACAGCGTGTGGCTCCAGTCGTTGAGCTCGAGGCAGCGGAGGAACGTCTTCTGCATCAGCTCCCAGTCCTGGTGCGACATGGCCGCCAGAGCGAGCTCAAAGGCGTTAAGGGCCGTGACCTGACGCATCTTGGACTCCTGGCCTGTCGTGAGGAGTTTAATGGCGTCAGCGAGGTTGCGCTGCTGCGCCAGGACGCGGGCTTCCTCCACGCGCCAGAGGCGGGAGTCTGGGTACCGCGTCCGCATGGAGGCGAGGAGGGCCTCGCACTTTTGCGCGGGGTACCCGACCATCTCGGCGTTGGCGTCAAAGTCCCGTTCCGCGGGCGTGATGTCTGCCTGGCCCAGGAGTCCGTTGTAGTAGCCCAGGAGGATCAGACCCGACACGGCACCGTTGAGGTTGTCGAATTGTGTGCTCTTCCAGAGCATGCGCACGCCGCGCTCGCGGTCGCCCCGGAAGCCAACAACGTACAGTAGGCGAGAGAAGGCGGGCGGGACCATGCTGAGCATGAAGAGCAGCATGCCGAAGCACATGTTTGCACCGCTGTGGATGAAGGCGTCGACGGGGTTCGAGAAGACGCCAGAGTCGGCGTCCGAGTCGTCGGCCATTTGCGAGGATACCTGGAGAGGGGCGAGCTTGGCATCGCCTGAGGGTGTCGATGTGCCGGAGTCAAGACTGAGCGTGGCCAGATCCTGTGCCGGTGTCTCCAACGTCGCTGAGTCGTTCACCTTCTTTTCCGCCGGGGTGACCGCTCCCGATTTGGGGACCTCGTTGGCGTCTACAAACTCAATGTCGCTATCGGACTTGCGCTCCAGGTCGGCAAACTCCTCGTCGTCAAAGCTGCCGGGCATCTTCTCCTCGCTCATCCGTTGCCGCAGCGGCGGCGGGTCAGCCTTGTTCTTGTCCTTCTCCAGCGCCTTGGCCTCCTGCATCATGATGCTGTCAAGGGTGACAAACGCCTTGCGGAGCTTATAGAACCCCTTGAGAGCTTCCGTCAGACTCTCGTGCAACACGGCTACGACGGCCGCCATGAGCTGCGACTCGGCATGGATGAGTAGGAACTCGGTGCCCGGCGCGTAAATCCTACTGCTCGTGGCGTCCCGTTCTGCCTTTTTGTAATCCGCCCATGCTTTCGCTTCCGTGTCGGCCAGCCGTTTTGAGGCCTCGTTCATGACTTCCTTTTCGAACCCTAGGACGGAGCGGAGGAACGTCGTCATGGCCAGGCCCAGCTGGTGAAAGGCCGAGTCGCCCTTGCGCAGACGTTCCTCGGCGCCATCAATGTCGTCGTTCATGATGAAGGCGGCGGCTACCATGGCCTCTTCGATATCGGCCATTTCCTTGGCGGAGAGTTCCTTGGAGGAGAGGTTGACTGACGACGCGGCCGGGCTCGCATTGCTGCTTACCTTGCCCGCCGAGCGGAACCACGAGCCCAGTCTACTCATACTGAAAGCGTGATGAGAAGGGCCAAGAGTGAGTGCGTATGTATTTCCTACGGGCAGATTGCAACGTGGCCCAACTACAAGAAGAACAAGAAATTCACGAGACGGGCTGGTTTGTCACTGAGTCGGGACCTCGGGAAGTCGACGGGGATGACTAGAAACCGGAAGTGCTCCGGCGAGTCGCTGACAGAGTGTGAGAGTGAGAGTGAGAGAAGCTCGCGGCAGGCAAAAAGGGCCGTGGATCCCCAGCGGCGGACTTTGGGCGCTGAAACAAACACGGGTCGACAGAGTCCGAATCTGGAATGCCGATTGGCGAAGGTGATGACGTCTTTTGCCTAGTTTGGCCGCCTCGTGGGAGTGAGTGAGTGAGTTGGCTTGGTTTTGTGTGCTTGCAAGTGTTTGTGAGTGTGAGTGTACCAGTCTGGAGCTCTCTGGTGGAAGCTTCGATTTCGTCCCTTTTTTTTCTTGGTGGCAACCCGGAGCTGGCTGGGAATAAAAAACGGACGCAAGGGTGCTCGATAAATGGCGCTGTTCGGCGAGGATAGAGATGGAGACAAAGACGTGGGAAGCTAAAAACTGAGATGGAGAAGTGAGAGCCGAAAGCGGTCGAGAGCGCGTGCTCAGTCACTCAGTGAGCTTGTGCTGCTGGTGGATCTTTTGCTTGTGGAAGAGGAGAGCTCTGAGGATCAGAAGAGATGTCCGGGTGTCCTCGGTATCATGGGGTAAAGGCAAGGCTGGAGGACGAGCTCTTGCCGGTGACGACGTTGATGTGACTGCTGACGATAAGGTGAGAAAGTTAGAAAGGCTGGCTTAACAACAACAGCATGCGGTAAGAAAAGGGAACAAATAAGCCAAGCCACGGCAAGGTATGGTCGAGTACATGTATGAAAAAAGGCTTAGGTGAGCGGCGGCGAGTGAGAGCGCAGCTTAGTTGTTGAACAAGTCAGGGGTGCACGTACTGAACCAGTGAACAGTATGCAAAAGTCATTACCTTCAGTAATACAGAAGCGGCGTCAGATGGGCCAAGAGTTCGCAACGGCCGTCATTGACAGGCAAAAGTGAGATGGGCCAGGGGTGCTTTGACAAAGTGGGTGTGGTATATGCGGTGAGCGTTGCGCGTTACCGTACAACTGACGAAGAACTGCCAAATACACGTATCCGCGGCTCCAGGGCATGAAGAGGTGAGGTCGGAGAGGGGTGACCGGGCCTTAAAGCAGTTGTACCTTCGATCCAGGTGGCGCGGGGCACGAGGGAGGGAGGTTGAGAGAATGGGCTCGGATGGGTTCCTAGAGCTGGAGCTAAGGGTTATTCGTTCATGCGCCAGCGAGTCCACCGGTCGAGAATTGAGACGGGGGTGTTGATGGATAGGATGGGATGGGATGGTGCCGGTGCTCGTGAGCGTTGTGTGGATGTATATTGGTTTGTGTACAGATATATTGAGTCTATGGGTACACAGGCGACTCTAGAGAGAACCTGTAAGGCGTTGCTGTAGGCAGATCCGGCTACATCGGCCGGAGTATTGTTCTCTTAAAGAGAGGCGCAGCTCCGTTCACGAAAGTACCCATACGGAAGTTGTGGTGAGCTCTTTAGAAAAGACTCTAGGTGAGTACGCAGGCACAGAGAAATTGGCCGGTCTTTCAAGCATCGAGCAAGGCAAAAGCGGCCAATTCTTCTGACCCCCGCAGGGTGAGAAAGGTAGGGCTCCTTCACAAGAGAGTTGAGTGATGAATCACACAGCTATCCACCACAGCTTCAGGGCCATTTTACCAGGGAAGATCCGCTAGCGAGAACCAGAAGAGAGACTGGACCTGCTGGAGAGAGTGAGCAGAAGAAGAAAGTTACGACCTGTGCAGAAATAGCGTCGTATTCCGTGCCTTTGAGTGGTGGCTGAGCCTGCCGCTTCCGCATCCGCATTCGCACTTTGGTGTGTCCTTGATCCATCGGCCCCAAGATATCCACGGATAGTTGGATAGCTCATTGAGTGTCACTAATCCAATACTGCGGTCAGTGGGGGATGGCCCCGGGGTTATCGGGTCGTTCGGCTGCTGGCAATCCCCGAGTTACATCGGGGGCGCGTGCCTTTACTCCCTCCGCTCCGGTCCTCATCAGCCACTTTCATTATACTGTATGTTGAAGAATTTTCGTATCCTCACAGGAGAATGGATTTGCTTATGTCGTACGGTGGATAATTATTTCCCGATCAGTGAAAGCTGGACAGAGGCAAAGTGAGAAGCAGCCGGGAAGCCCTGACGATGCATATGAGCTAGTCTGGACTGATCCCTCTGGTATTCTCGCGCGCGGGAAGCGATGATTCAAAGTCTCCGAGACTGAAATCGAATCAACGCCGGGAGACGCCATTGCTAAGCAGCCTAGGGCCTGGGCATCGCCGGACCCAAGGAACCCTAGCCAAGAGATCATCCGCTACTGCATCTTGCATTGCAGGCAGAAGCTGGCGGCGTTTTCCTTGGTCCTTCTCCGACCGTCTGGTCAGCATGCACAGCATGGCTGGTTGAATGAAATAGGGGACACATGTTAAAAGTCACATGTTCAAGGTTTGCCATGTCTATCACAGATGGAAGGGCAATGGTGTTCTCGACCGGGTGACCTGGTCGAGAGAACGAGGAATAGATAATGTCCGTGACATTTGCAAGATAGTGAAGTTCTGTCTACGGCACCATGAGCGTCGACTGACGAAAGTTTCCTTCATCTCAGCTCCCCAGACATCCGTTCCGATGCAAAGATCTGAGATGGCAAGCAATTCCCCCTTCAGGATATGCATAACGTGCCCGGCTCGTTGTGTCCCTTGGTCCCCGGCCGCGTCGGTGCCTCGCAAGCAAGCCGCGCAACCCACACAGTAGTGGGCTCGCGTGCTCAGTCCCCTCAATATGGACGAGGAACGCAGACAGCCGCTGCCAAGAGGTAACGTGGGAGGTAAAGGTGACAGCCATAAGTAGAGGCACAAGCATACGCCGTGGAGTGAGAAGGCGAACGATTTTTAGAAAGAGGACATGCCTTTTACATTAACTCTTGGTGACACGAACATCTCGCTTCGTCTTGATTTACTGACTGAGTGGGATTTGTTGGCCGGTGTTAGAGGAGAGGCCCAGGCTCCGATTCTGTCTCAGCGTCTGCTTCTGGTATTGATGCGGTGACAACCTTCGCTGGTCCTCAGAGGTTGAAAAGTCATCGCATTAGAGGATGAAAAGGACCTGTTGCGTGTATACTGAAGCGTGATACAAAAGGGTCACCGGTCCAGAGAGTATCATGGTCGCTACGATGTTCCATCCTAATTCAAGCAGTCCATGTGTGCAACTCCGAATCTAGAGGTTCAAAAAACTCTAATTCACTTGAAGCGACATCTTGACGTCCCAATGAGATGGAAGATGAACTAGATGATCGACTTCAGTCATGGAACAAACACAAAAAGGGTTGAGCTCGAGGCATCTCATGGCTGAGAATGTTGGTCTGCTCGCACAAGCTAAGTGTTGGTCAAATTCATGTTAGTGAATAGGTATTTTGGTCCCTACATCACTGAGATTGGTCCATTAGACAATCCCTTGGATAATAAGCCCATAAAGCAAGCTGAAGAACAGGAGTATGGAGGATCGTTGACCATTGTTGGATAGGCCCTGCTTTTCTCAAGTCTCCGGTACCTGAATGAATCTCAATTCCCTGATGCCTCAGCTGAATAGTGGCGCCGTGTGAGTCTTTACCCCGCTGCGTCACTACCTTAGGTACCTTGGGCTGGGCTCATGCTGAGTGTAAGGTAAGGGAGGTAAGAAGAACCGCCCTTGGCACTGCGACGCTCCAACCTGGCTGCCTCTGACCTCACCCCACCACGCCTTTGAGGCAGCTACCCCGCCATCGGCCGAGACACCAAGCTGACTACGTACTTTTCCAACCCAAAGCAGAACACCACTGCCAATCTGGAAACGACATCGTCGCCAACATCCTCACCAACCTCGACACGGTGTCTGCCATTTCTGCTACCAGTATCCGACATGCGAAACTGCCTTAAAATCTAACAGGAAAACTCTCCCTCCAAACCTCATTCGTCAACAGCTCTCCCACCCTCCAAAACTTCACCACCCAGCTGTCGTTCGAGAGCTTACAACCTTGAGGGTCCCCGGTTCCCACTCGGCAAAGCTCACCGATCACCTACCCAAACTCAGTCCCAGCATCAACACTCCAGAATACACAACCAACACGCAACATCGCCCATCATGTCGAGCAAGCGCATCGCCAAGGTACGCCAAACTCCCTCTCGCAACCCCCAAATCCTCCCCTACAAACGACCACCATCCTTGACTAACCCCCAAAAACCACACGCGCAGGAACTGACCGAAGTCACCACGACCCCTCCCACGGGCATGACAATCACCCTCGCCCGCGACTCCGACCTCCACGCCTGGCACGTCTCCCTCACCGGCCCCGAAAACACCCCCTACGCAGGCGGCACCTTTGCCGTCCTCGTCGACCTCCCCAAAGACTACCCCTTCAAGGCCCCCGTCGTCAAGTTCGCCACCCGCATCTACCACCCCAACATCACAAACGACGCCAACGGCAACATCTGCCTCGGCATGCTCAAATCCGAAAACTGGAAGCCCGCCACCAAGCTCGCCGCCGTCCTCGAGGCCGTCCGCTCCCTCCTCGTCGAGCCCCTGCCCGACGACCCCCTCGAGGCCCGCATCGCCGACGAGTTCAAGAATAACCGCCCCGAGTTTGAGAAGAATGCAAAGCAGTACGTCACGCGCTACGCAAAGGGCCCGGCTAGCTTTGCCGCCTCTGAACCGCCTGCCAAATGAAGCGAGCATCATGGCCAGTAATAGCACGATGTGCGTAGTGTCTTCTCAGCCACGGCGGGGCAGAAGAGGACGTAAGCACGACCAGAACACCACGAGAGCTCCTGGGGACTCCAACCATTTTTTTCGAGTGATTCAAGCAAAGAGTATAGAAAACGACGGCGTTGGTCGGTCCAGACAGTGAGCATTAACGGCGTTGGGGAGATGGGATTTCAAATTGTTCCATGCTTTTCCCATGGATTTGGAATAGTCTCTAGACTTTCAGAGGGCATGAGCAGAGCTTTGGCAGCCAACAGCCGGTCCATTGCGTGGATCGGTAGTCTGGACTGTCCCATATTATGCACTTTATCTAGGACGGCGTTCATATTAGATTGTTACAGGACGCTGAATCAAATCACTCATCATCACCTCCTGGAATTGACATAGTGGCATTGTGATCATCTGAACACTCGAAGCGTTGCTCATGACAACTGTTTAGAGAAACGAATAGCACCAATCATAGAGACTCGCAGGACTCAAGGGGCACAAAGAAAAAGCTTGGGCATTGTGTGATGCTAACAGACATCGTATCTACAACTTGGTGAGACTGTTCTTCACCCGTTCGGGCACTTCCTCCACATATGTTCTATGCCGAACCAAAAATCCAATATGCTAGGGGCGTGACCGCGCCGCCCTCTTCTAGAATGATATCCGTTTTCGCTTCCCAATGGTGCCGCATGCCATGTAGTCATTACCCTTGAAATGCAAATATTCCCTTAAACGCCGTGGCTTAATGCATGCATGCAACTTTTGTTCCTCCTCTGTGGCCGGCTCACGATACCTCTGCCGATCTGCCCAGCCTCCTACGTCCAAAAATGGTGCCTTTCCTACGGACCTCGCCTTCGGCTTCCGTAGCGTTGGCGCTGTCCACGGCGCCTGCGTACGTGGCGGCTCTTTGATGCTCTGTCTGGACTTTTACACGCCTTTCTTCCCGCTGCGTATCGATTGTATCTTGACTGATGTGCCCAAAACCGTTGCGACGCTTGAAACAAGCCTCCATTAGTGCATTGGCGTCCAGCAGCTTGCGAGGCATGGCTTGGATCACGGAAAACATCTCCATGGGATCCGTGACAGATCGAACCTCGTTTTCTCCAAGCTTGAAGATAGCCAAGGCAATGCGGAAAAGAGTCTTGGAGCCTTCGTAAAAGATGACGTCCCATACACGCAATGTGCTCTCAATAGGCAGGGTACCAATGAAACAGCTCATAAACCACGCCGTCATGCAAAGTGTGATGGGCGGCAGGCGGTTGGACGAGATGCTGGGTTGGTTCTTCCTCCTGACCCTTGGCTTCTTGACTGGCTTCACCGGCCGCGCTGCGTTCGGGTCGCCTTCCATATCGTCGCCAATCTTGGCCCAAACAGCAGGCATGGACTCCCTGATGGCATTCATCAAGACACCAAGGTCCACCTTGGAGCCTTCGAGACTCATCTCGTGGGTGCCGGGCAAGTATAGGCGGGTAATGACATTCAACAGCCAGAAGGCCTTTTCTTCCGAATCCATGAACAGAAGGAGCAGGCCAGCTAGGAAGTTGAGACTTTGGCAGTATCCGATGCGTGGGTTGTAAATAGCAAATGCGTGCAGGACCCGTCTCAGGGAAGTAATGATCGCAGGCTCATTCTTGGCCTCGCTCTCGGAGTCGTCCGTTAACTGAATGTCCCGAGTTGGTTCCGTGTTTGGCTTCGACGCCATGCTTGCAGGCTTGAACTTGACATTGTCCGGGAATGTCCGGTGAAGATCTCGCTCAATAGCCTCGACATCAATGTCTTTCGCCTTCTTCTGCAGGAGAGTGTCGTATAGACCTGAATGTTTCGCCAAAATGGCGGGGCCTCCTGCGTAGTAAAACCAGGCAGCCCCTCTCCACTCGGGCGGAATGCCTTTCCGCACAAAACGTTTCGCCTTCGCACTATGGGGAGGGAATCGTTCAGGTTGGTTCGTCATCAGTCCACTTTCCTTCATGAAAGTAGTCCACTTCTTGCGCCGTCGGTCAAGGTAGTCAGAGTAACCCTTGTCCCAGGCATCATACTGTTTCCTGGTGATATGTTGGTTGGCCTTCTTGAAGCCATATCGGTCTCGTGCGCCTGGGTCTTCGATTTCGACTGGCTCGAGATCTACGGCCGTTCGCGCAGAAGAGGTTGATGGGCTGTTCAGCTGCGGAGACGTAGCTGGTGTGTCGGCCTGAAGAGACTTGGCAGAGTCTCGCTTCTCATTAGTATCTTTGTTATCGTTGTTTCGATCATAGTCCGTCAAGCCGAGCTCCTTTGGCAAAGATGCTGGGTATTCAGATACCCTGAACATCTCGGTCGATTCGCGAACGATTGTGTCCGAAGTCGGGACAGTCAATGAGGTGGCGGCGGGCGCGGTCAATGGTTGACTCAGAGCCTCCAACATTCTCGTGTTCCGCCTGTTGATCTCCGCCGCCGGAACGGGACGCACGTCGTCGTCGTCGTGGTCTTCGGGGCTCGAGTCGTCTCGGAAGCCCTTTTCGTACATCCCCATAACGTCGTCGACACTAAGCTCCTCCCCGTTAGCGTACAGCGATGGAATCGAGCTATTCTTGGTGAGAACACTGCTTCTTTCCGTCACGTACGTTCCCTGTGCACTGGACGCAGTCATCTGAGATCTGTAACTCGATCTCATCTCGTCTTCACCACTCATCCATGGCGCCTCCCTGGCATATGTAGATAGGCCAGAGCTCGAGCTGTCGACACGACCGTAGGCCATTGGAGGACGGGTGAGGCCTGACGGAGGCGGGGCACTTCGTAGACGAGAGGGGGCGCGAGGTTCATAGAGGTCACCTCCCGATGCTGGAATCGAGGCAAACGTCGAGGCCGACCTTGCAGATGATCCGGACTGACCCCGTGGCCGCGGCCATGCTTGATGATGGGAATTGGGGTCAGAACGCGGCTCTGAAGGAGAGTAGTTGGCTCTAGGTCGGTATGAGTCTTGTATCGGTTGCTTGATGCTCGGCCTTCTCGGGCGAGAGAAGTTGTCGACCTGCATGGTGTCGATCGAGGAACGGTCGTCTTCGTCGTACGGGATCGGTGATCTGATCGAGCGAGCGGCTCTGCTTGTCCATTCGTCGGCGCTCAAGTCGTCGTCAAGGTCGTGACCCGGCCTCGGTGCCAGCGAGGGGAACGTAGGGGAGGAGGGGTAGTGCTGGGCGGAATCATAGGTAGGACGTCGAGGGGACTGAGGCTGCGACTGGGGGCTCGTCGAGTTTTGTTGCATCCCAAAATTGCTCGAGTTGTTGGCGAGCGAGTCCCAGCGCGGAGGGGATGTGGGCAAGGGATGTGCATGTGGTGGGTAGGCTGCTGGGAAGTCGGAGTTGGGACGCTCTGGAACGTCAGAAGTTGAGATGGGTTTCGGATGGGTCCGCCTTGAAGCATAAATACCGAATTGGCGATGCTTCATGCTATTCTGGCGCTGGACGGTAGGGTCCTGATCCGCCATGGCTCCGGGGGTGATCTGGGCGTCGGGATGGCCAGAGTCCGCTGCCATGGCCATGAGGGTCATCGTGGCTGACTCCCCAGGCCGTTATATGGCAGCAGCAAGTTTTACTCGAGCAATTGGATTCGCAGACAACGCGTTGAGACTGCCAGTGACGGTGTTCCTTTGCGGGTCTCTTTGTCGGCAAAGTTGTAGTTGATTGTAACTGGTGTTACGATAGCGAAGTCAAGTATCTGTAATGGTTTTGCAAGTTGATTGTGGTAGGGCAGTCAAAAGCGTTCCTGACGATAGCATTGCGGCACATGCATAAACCTTGCGTTTGGCAGCAACCCTCTTTGAATAGTCTCAGCAGGTCGCGACGGGTATTGGTCGGGCGGGGCTGGTTCCAGTGGTTGATCGCTGCTGGTAGCCGGGATATGGCGGGATGAAGAACGGTCGGTGCGAAGGTGGTGCAGAAAAAAGGGTGACTATCGGGACGAGTCGAGCAAGGAATGGCAGGTTTCCAGCGTCACAGGGCGTAGGAGACGAGGTGATACCCTGAGTACAGTTCATGCGCATGCGCATGCAAACTGGGGGCTGGATGTAAGGGGTGAAGTTGGACGTCAGAGATCGACCAACAGCTGAGTCAATGGGCGTCGTTTGAGCTGGGAGGTAGTAGGCCGGGAGTTGCGAAACAACAGATGCAGAGAGCCGGCGACGAGGCGCTCAGGCAAGTACAGACGGATCAATTGCAGATGCAGGAGATTGTCGTCGTCTTTCGCCGTGGTGGGCAAAGTGAGGAGAAAGCAAGGGAGCGGTATCCGATCCGGGTGGTGCGGTAGGCTGGCACGCTGGGTAGTATTGTGGTGTTGTGGCAGGTCTCCAGTGCTCCTCTGAAAGTCCCCAGTCGGCCAGAGATGTTGAATTGGATTGGACGAAAGGATGGTGGTTGGCGGAAGTGTTTTGGGGGGAGACCTGAATCTCCTTTGGGGGCGGATGCCTGTTGTCGCAGATGAAGATGCTAAAACTGAAGCGAGCGTTTGGACCCAGACGGGGGCGTCGTCATTGGCTCAAGCCCAGAACGGGAATATGAAAACAAGAAAAAAACAATAAAAGAGGACTTGTCGAAGGTCGAGAAACGATGACGGGATTCCTCAAGGGTTCCAGTCCCCAATTGTGCAAGGCGTTGGTCTCCTTCTTTTTGTTTTGGTGGCACTGAAAGTATCAGGGCGAGTTGGGCATTCGTGGCGGCGCCAAGTTTGAAGTGTCTCGGAGACGAAAGGGCGATTGACTCGTGCGTCAGATTTTGGGCGACGCTGCCACGAGGCAGAAGCAAAGAAAGACGGCGGTCGGGTATCGGAAACGGTTGGTGATTGGTTACTCTTTGACAGACGGATCGTCTCAGTATCGTGCAGTCAGCGTGCGAGTAGGTTGAAATACGGTCGAGAGTGGCCGAGCGATGGAACGAATGGGAAGTTTGCGGTGCTCTGCTTGGCACCTTGAGGAAAAAGTAGACAGGAAAGAAAGTGCAAGACAAACTCGAGTCCCAGGTGAACGAACGGACGGAATGAGAAGAAAGAGGAAGAGAGGAAAAGGAAAAAAAAGATGTTGAAATTCGGGCCAATTGCGCCGACGAGAAGCGCGGCGTCGGATGCCGAAAAAAAACGGAAAACAATCTTAGAAGGAGGCAAGGAACAACCAAGGCTGCATTAAGGAGGGAAAGAGCCGCCAGAAACAACGGCGAGGAAGCTGCCCTGGGCTGATGTCGCTCTTGCTGTTGCCGTTGTAAGGTGAGGTAGTCTGCACTAATGGTGGATTAAGAAAGAGGAAGGAGCGATTGGATGCCAGTGCGGACGCAAGTTGCAGGTGCAGCGCAGGCAGGAAGGTGCAAGTGCAGGTGCAGGTGTACCTCAGCAGACAAATGCAGGAAGGTGCAGGAGATAATTAGTTCTAGGTAAGGTTAAGGTAAGGTAAGGTAGAGAAGGAGGGATGGGAGGGGAGGAAGGGAGGGAGGAACGAGGCCCAAAGATGATGGAAGGCGAAGACAAGAGACGAAGACGACGACAGCAACAACGGCCCAAAGAACAAGGAAGGGAAGAACGACGGAATAAGATGAGGAGATTGGATAGACTTGGATCGTCCTCGCTTTCCCCTTGCTCTCTCGCTTGTCCTTCGCCTGACGTGGTCACTCCCTCGATATCATAATCCCTAACGACTGGAAATTCAATATGCTCGTCCACCAACTTTTTTTTTGTGAAGCGGACGGACCATCAGAGAATACGCCAAGGCAATTTGTTATCAAATTCCAACCTTCCGCTTATGATGGTGAGCAGACACCTCAATCTCTACCTTACTTCGCTGCTCGTATGCTTACTTACCAAGTTTCCACTGAACAGAACAGGGACACCTACGCCATAGTATAGGTACTCCGCAACACACGGAGTATCCGTACATTAAATCAGTTCTATCCGTACGATGGCGGGAGCGGACACTGAGAGACACCCGCCAACTCCGAAGGGTCGCAATCAACATGGAATGGAGTCAGTCATTCACGTCTCCCTCCTACCGAGACCGAGACTAGGACCAAGACCAAGACCAAGATCCCAAGAACCAAACAAACCAACGACCAACCTGAACCCCCATCCCGAAAAGGAAGAAAGCCGCCTTCGCAACGACACAGATTGATTAAAAACGGTGAGAGAAGAGAGTCAGTCAAAGCTGGTGCCAGCACCACTTTTGCAGCCCATCCTCGACTCTTGTTTCCCCCAAATCGTCGCTTCTCACAAGCTCCCAGGTGTGCTTCGTACAGGTGCTGAGAAAATCTCATCAATCCGATTCATCACTCCATCCATATCGTCACCAAATTTCGCACACCTGCTACTAAGGACCAAGGTGCCATCCTTCCCCGCAGTCACTCGTCAATCATCTCTCAGCATTCCACCTAGGCCTGGTCAAGTCGGTCAGCGCCTGTTTCCAAGGCCCCATGTCGCCCTGGTCGCCCATGTCCACGGTCCTCTTCTTCCTGGTCACGTCCCCGTTTCTTCCTTCGAGAAGCAGGATCCATCAACTCGGGATGTGGCCCTTGGACAAGAGTACCTGCATCTGCCACCAAATTCACCTGATGGCATGTGTACCGTCGTCTCATGTTTCTTCCAGCGGGTTTCTCGCCTCCCTTGCATCACCCGCGCCCAATAACGTCCTGGGTGTTATTACCACGGCGCCTTGACCATTTCCCTGCCTGGCTCGCGCATCCGGAACGTGCAACAATATTTCGATATGACGCCCACTCATGAGCTGGCGAGAAGAGCAAAATCGATAGCGACAGGGTATCTACACAGGCACAGGGAAGAACTTTACCCAACCCTTAAGCCCTGGACAGGGGAAACGCGGGCGGTGGGTGACTTCGATAAGCACTCTCATGGCATGGTGTCGCATTATTGACCCTAGTTCACAGGTATCCGTACTCGAGGACTAGGGAGAGCAGCAGCACAACCTTACCGATATCTCATACATATCCGAACGAATATCCGTACTTCGTACCGTTGGATGCCATGGTGACACAAAAGTCAGAGGAACAAGACCAACTCTCACCACCAGCAAACGCCGCAACGTCCCGATATCAGACGCTGAGACGCAACCCAACCGCTTGCAGGGGGCTCAAGCAGCGCCGTTACCTGCAGGGGCCAGCGAACAAGGCCTGTCTCCTGTCCGGCGCCGGCGGCCCTTCCCACTGGGACAGTTTGGGGCCGGCCCTCCACCTTTGGCTCGCTGGCTATTCCACTTCGCGGGAAGAGGGTTTGCTAGCGTCTCTGGTGCCTGAAGCTATTCCCAAACGAGTATTCATCATCCACTGCCCAATCACTTTACAATTTCCCGGCCCAGGGCCCGGTAACGTACCGTAACGATCCTCACTGGCCAACTCTCCCTTTTCGAGCCGTCTCCCAGAGAAAATCTGCACCGCCATCGGCATTCTCAGCTTGTTGACCCATTCTCTTCTATGGAGAACTCTGTATGCATCAGGTAGGAGAGGCTCTTTTTCCTCATGTTTTTCTTTCCCAACCCGTCGTGCTTTGGACCCAGAAAACGCCGTTGGCAGGGCTCTCTGGTCGCTACTAGCGTAGTCTCTCCTTAGTCTATTCTCGAATTTCTTTCTTTTTCCACATGACCCTATTCTGCTAGGTACTGTTCTCCATTTGGAGATGCTTTCTTTTTGATATCCAGTTGTGGAATGTGGACCGACTAAACGGTCTTGGGCATTTGCTTTTCCCGCCAACAGCATTGCCTTGGCTTTGGTTAGGGTTGCTTCTCTAAGTGCCATGTTCAATGGTGAATGAGATTTTCACTGAGAGAACCGAGGTCATGTCCCAAGTAAGATGTTTTCATTCAGCAAAAGTACCCTGGATGCTCTCCCACGAAGACTACGGCTTTTCGCCGCTAGGAGGGACAACGGGTACCAATCTGGCGGTTCTCATGCATATCGCTACCAGCGGGCATGCATCATCCCTTCTCACGCCGGCCGCTACTACATTGATCTCGATCATCGGCTCCATCACAAACAAGGCATGGAGAAGTTGTTCTCGTTTATTTTCTCGCTTCGCCTCGCCTGAATTCCATCTCGATCCTCGTGACAGAGCACTCGAGCTTGAGAGTTGAGCGTCGAGACTCCTGTCCCGGTTTTCTTACCTGTTTCTTTCGAGCAATCAGGACACTCCATTTTTACACGCTGCCCCGGCCGAGTACGAACACAAACACTACCTACCCTACTATCGCGCAATTTTCCAGGCCGCCATCTTCCGCGCATCGCCGACGTGTCATCGATGGACACTTTCGGCGGCTGCTCCGATGGGCGAGTCCAGCCCAGATACCTCCAAAGCATATCGTACCTCTCCCTTGGGCCTTGGCTGAAGCTGTGCCAAATCCGAAATGTTTCCGGAGAGCCGGATACTACCCAACATTCTCAATAGACTCCACAACCATACACACCATAAGCATAGTCAGGAACGAGCTCGGCCATCTCAGGAACACGCAGAGCATTGGGCACGGAAAGCGTTCAGTCCATATCTCTTCGGGCTGTCCCGTCCCCGAGCTTTCTATAACCTCTTTCTGTTACCGTTATGGCTTTCCCTTGCCTCGGACTATCGACGCGTCGGCCCTCTCAAGATATCAGATCGGCAATGTCTCATCCTCCCTAGAAACACCATGAGGGGAACCTTCAACCTTGGACTAGTCAGATTCGTGGTCCAACTACTGCCAAGATGCAACTCTTTCTTTTTCCAATTCTCGGTCACCCTACCCGAGCGGCTAATGAGTACCAATAGCCATGATCTTGCGATAAACCGATAAGAGATAGGAAGGAGCACTTATTGCCCGTCACCGTCGGCAGCACCCGCCAAACATAATGGGCAAAATCAGCAGGCCAATGGTGGGTGCTTTGAGAGCTTGCCGCCTGCTTCTCACATTTTTACACAACCCTTGTCGGTGTGTTTGGGATGCAAGTCGCAACCAGTGCTCAGTAGCACGTGTTGGCAAGCCAGGGCAGCCTCTCTGCAGCATGAGAGCACTTTGCGAGTGTGGTCACACGTCACGTACGCGACGCGCCCTTCTGCCAGTATGGCAAACCAGCTCATATCTATCCTTTCGGGTCCGCCTATCTTGGAGGATCCCTTCCAGTCATTGTGGACTAATTGGACGGACTCGCTACCTTTTGCATATCTCTCATTCTGTCATTTTCTACGTCAGCTCCATCATGGCATGCGCTGGTATTGAGGATATTCGCTATCGAGCCTCAAGGCTGTAAGTACAGACTTGAGCAGATAGCGGAGAGGCGGTAATGCAGCTCAAGGTCTACCTTAAGGTACCTACGAAGTAGTCCGGGTCGGGCGTAGGGATGCTACGCAAAGACGGATTAAAGACGGAGCGAATTGTCTTTGCGACCCGGATGGACTGGGAGTCACTGGACGGGACTTAGGTTGGTACCTGGACTCGGGAGACTAGCGCACGTGATGACGGCGTTCATGACGTCCCGTTCCGGGTAGAATCACGTCAGTGTGCGGTCGGCTATCATGGTGTACGGAGTACCTTAGTCCTTCACACCAAGGGTGTGTACTCATCGAGAAATTGCTAGCGATTGAGGACTGCCATTGGCTTTCCCTGCTACAGCTTTCAGCTACGGACGCGGCTTTTGATTGACACAGGGGGGGACACCAGCAGCAACCGAGAGCAACGCAAGTTGGAGGCGGAAAGGGGGGAGGGAAGACTGAGAGAGGGATATTGGGGAGGACTCTGGACGACGGGAAGAGGGGAGGGCTCTCTTCTCTGAGGGCACAGGATCGGAGCTTCGTCTTCTTGTCTCCCACCTCGGTGATGCTGCTGCTGCTGCTGCTGCTTGCTGCACGCACCTTAGGTTCCGGGCAGGGATGGTGATGCTGTTGCTTCCCCAGAAAGGTCCGAGCTCCTCGTGCTCGACAGACCAACCAGAGCGTCAGACTCCGAGTTCGAAAGCTGACCGTCGACCAACTTGCACCGCGCCAGTCTGCTTGGTTCCCTGTTTGGATCTTCCACCCAACCCCGATTCCTCCGCGCACGCCTACGTTCACGCCCGCGCCCGCGCACCCTCGCCCTCGCGCGATTCTCTTTCTCTCTCCCGTCTCTTGCGCTCACGTCTCTCCAGTCTCCCCGTTCGCTGGTCGTCTCGTCTCGTCTGTCTCTCTCTTTCTCTCCCCTCAGTCGCCCGCTTGCACCCCCCGACAATCGACTCGAAGTTCCCCCAGCCACCCTCTGGTCCTCCACCCATCCATCCACCTTGGTCTCCCTCCTCTCAGTCCTGGCCTAGTTTCTTGTCTCTGGGCCTGACTGGGTGACTGGGTGAAGCGGGACTGGGTGTTGCTCCAGCTCAGAGTCTCTGGCACTTTGTTCCTTGGGACCTCTACGGAGTAGGCTTTGGCTCTTTACCTTACCTCCGGCCGGCTCTGCCTCGCACACGCTCCCTCGCAAACAGGATGGTAGAACGCGCACCACGGAGCTGAGAGAGAGGGAGCTTCCCTACCCCCCTCCTCAGTCTTCACTCTCTGGCGCACCGCAACGCACCACACCGCACCACAATGCCTCGCACTCCCTCCTCTCTTCTCTTCCTCGCGCCCGCCCATTGCGCTCCCAGAGAGCCAGAGCTACCACCAGTCGACTCGCACCCACCCACCTTTGACTTTGCCCCGTCCTCCCCCCATAGCTTTCCTTGCGCCAACCTACCTACCTTGCCTACCTTTCGTCCTGGCCATCCCCCAACTCTCTCCCTCTTCTCTCTTTACTTCTCCTACATATCTCTCTCTCTTCCCATCCCTCTCTTGCCTGTCTCCTACTGAAATCTCATCCCGAGACAACCTAACACACCCAATTGAACCCTCCGGAGCTTCATCACACAATGTCCACCCGCAAGAGAAAGCAAGAAGAGGAGGAGGAGCTTGTCTCCCTTCCCGATGACGACGGTGAAGAGGAAGAGGAGTAAGTCGTTCCTATCCTGCCCATGCCGTCGACCTTCTTTGAAAGTAGTAAATATCAAGTGATGTTTCTACTCAGACCTTGAACTCGTATGCGCAGACACAGCTATCTTGTCATTGAAGCTCCAATGTTGCCGTAGCTATGCGCCGGGCCCATCCGAGGTACTGGAAGCATTTTCGCGTACACAACCGCTGTCCGGCATGCCATCTCCCTCAACCACACAACTAACAAGGCTCACCCATCAGGTATGAATCAGAGGAAGACGGAGAGGAGGGTGATGACGACGTCGAGGAAGAGGAGGAGGACGAGGAGGAAGAGGGAGATGCCGAGGAAGACGGAGACGCCAACGGCGTAGACGGTAAGCCCACTCGACAGCGCCCTATACACCAATCCATCTAGGACGGACAGCTAACGTGCAGGGCCCACAGAGAAAGCTCCTCCATCGAAGAAGCGGAAGACCGAGACCGCTGCCACGGATGATGCGGCCGACGCTGAGGAGGCCGCCGATGAGGAGGAAGAGGCTGAAGACGAGCCCGAGGGTGAAGACAACGCTGAAGAAGAGGAAGAGGAGGCTGAGGCCGACGAGGAAGCTGCCAACGGCGTCGAGGACGCCCCTGCCAAGGGTGATGTCAAGGCTGCCGAGGCACCTGCCGCTACCAACGGTGATGCCGCCAAGGCTGTTGCTGCTGGCGGTGACACCGAGGAGTAGACTCGTAGTGTGTTCTATATAGCAGTATCAATCTTCCACTTTAAGTCCATCGGTCTTTTCATGTGCGGTTATCAGTTGTCCAGTAATCTACTATGATGTAAGAAGGGGAGCGTCAAGAACATCCTACTTTGATGGCGTTTCCTCCGTGATGTGACGCGATGCACCTTCATCCGGGATGTTCTGCCAATGACAATATGATGTAAATCAGCATCTTCTGTATGCGATGTAAATACCTAGGAGCTGTGTTCAGCTTGCGACAGAATGCGACAGTCCTCAGCAATGGCCCTCACATGCCAACCACTTGGATCGCTCTCAAGCGCACGGATGTGGTTCGTTTCGCCTCCTTTCCTTCGGACTGAGGGGGAAACTTTGGGAACATTTGCGTCGAAACGAAAGAAACCCCAAAGGTAGACCAGCAATTTGAGGAAGACGTAAGATAATGTTCAACATGTATATATCTATATACTTCATTTCCATAGATTGGGTGTCAATTGAGATGCAGACATACCCGATACTCGACACTTGTTCGGCCTGCTCTTCTTTGCGCGCCTCTACTTGCAAGGTACCTTGTCCAATGAAGTATTATTCCCCCTTTTTTCCAACCCTTTTCGAAGACAGACGTTGGTCCTCTGTGCGTGTGCCTGTTCTCTGGTTGGTTTGATTGCCGAGTGCAGGAAAAGACGGGTGTTGACTGGCCGCATAAAAGGTCCCCGTCGGCCTTTTGAGCGACGTTCAATTGGGGGGCAAGTCTTGGGGGCTAAAAAAAAGGGCCGGGCCTTCCGTCCGGCTTTTCGGCTGAGGGTTGGGTTCCGGGGATCCGCTCACGATGGGCGGGATGGGGCCGGGTGGCCGGGGGTTTTACATCTTCGGCTCCGGAAAGGGAAGAGAGAGAGAGAGAGAGAGAGAGAGAGCGAAGGGAAAGGGGAAAAGGCTTTCATCTCACGACGGGAGAATTCTCGCCGTCGTCGATGAACGAATGGGTCATTCGCTGTACGCGCCACTTTTGCCAACCAGAGTGCTTGCTAGCACAAAAGGCAAAAGATACATGCAACACCAGGCATTCGCCGGTCGTCTCCGACCCGACTACTACTCCGGCCCTCGCTGGTTTATCGATAGGAGAGCGGACGGGATCCCGAGTTCTCCAGTGGGTGTGGTCGCATGTGCTGGATTGAAGGAGTGGCGATGCTCAAATTGTGTGGAGGTTGGTTGTGTGGCTCTGGAGAAGGGTCTGCAGCCTGGGCCTGAGCGGTTCCTGGATTCTATGGGTATTGAATGATATAGAAAGGCTGACTGGTTGCAGCTTAGTTCGGCAGATGTTCAATACCTCGTCCATTACTGTAGTGGTCATTGACTAGCTTGCGGACCTACTTTCGCTCGGCGTTCTCCATGTCCACTCTCGGTCAATACAGGATAAAAACTTGATAACGAGTACCAATGAAGCAGATACTTCCAGTGGGATATGAGGAGCAAGACCTGCTTGGTGATATGGACTTTGGGTGGCCGTGGCATAATAAGGCAAGGCTCCAGTTTCCTCGTAGATAACTTGATGATTAAGACTCACCAGCTAAGGGCCCTACAAATCATTCTATCTGCCTCTCGCTCACATGATCATTCAAAAATTACATGTTTCTGTCACTAGAAACACATGGTGACAGCGAATAGTCCGAAAATCACAAGCTCTCGAGCGTTTGGGACTGGATACCCATCAGCTCATATGCGTTCCAACGTGCTTTCTGTGTTTGAGTTATACCACTCTTTTGGAAAGACAACGCGCAAAACCCTTGGTGATTCTATCACGTAATGTACATCTCGCCGGATTCAGTCAGCAAGATGTGTCAATACGAAGTATCCTCAAAACCACACACAAAACACTGAAACCCAGTGGCACGACAGAGTTCCCGCACGACATACGGCTCAGACTTCTGGAGAATCCATGACAGGATTCGTATAAAAGCATTAGTAAGGAGTACTGTAATAGCAAATTTGTCTCGCGTTCTACAGTCCATAGACCCGCGTACGTCGTAAAGAACCCGGCAACGTCTCGTAGGATTCACAGAACATATCCGACGCGAATAAATATATCTCACTATTTATAGTTGTGTCACCTTCCAAGAACATTGTAGCCTTCTACATCACCTAGACTGGGTTTATGCTATGTAGAATACTCTACCAATAGTCCTAGAGAACGAGAGCCACTAGACTATCTAAGTGCCTGTGTCTCTAGAATTGATTCACGTTTCTGGTTGGTTTCAGTGAGCGTGTGCTTTTCCTATGTGATCAGAGTGGTGGTGAATGCTTAGGAGCGTTATATGGTGGCTAAAGCGAGGGTTTCTAGATATTACTTTGCGTACTAGGTGTGAGGTTGAAAAGAGGAGAAGAGGATGGGGAGAGATAAGGTGATTTAGTCAAATATCTTCTATACATTGATGAGCCAGATGTGAAGAAGGTAGCTCGTCTCTCAAGTCCTCATTACCGCCCGCTCACCTCTCCTTGCCTCATCCGCCCGGCGTACCCAGCAAGTAACATCACCGCAAGCGTAGCCAGCAACCTCTGCCGGCCGATAACCTCCCATTAGCGGCCTTCTCCCTAAGGGGCGTTTACTTTCATCAGCTGTAAGCAAGCTAGCTCCTCCCAATGATGGTAGCCGTTCCAGTCAGTGGATAGACTACCTCCAATCCTGTTCCACAGCAGCCGGAAAAGGTACCACAGCCCATGGCGCAACATGTACCAAGATAAACAAGGCCCCGGCACTAGTATGGGGTAGCTTGAACGGATCAAGCAAGGGTACATCAGTAATCTCGTGCCGAAACTTGTACTTGGCTAGATGAATATGGGGGATGCCATGATAGAGTTTGCGGAGTATCAGATGGAAAACAACCCGGCGTAGACCCGGGTCAATGAGAGGAAGCATTGGTGACCTCGGGTAGTCTAGACTAGGACAAGATCTAGGGCACTGTCAAGTGTGTTGTCACATGAACTGCAGGGACTTGGGAAGATGGGACTGGCAGGGGCTAGCTAGATGTATCCTGAAGTAGGCTTGGTCTCTGCGTATTGGGTAGCCAGTCTCTATTATGGCTGAGTAGACTTCAACAGCAAGCAATGTACGGTAAAATGGACCTTGTCAGTCTAAGACAGTATCCAGGCTGTTACCAAAGGCGCGTTGTGATGAGACTATTGAACAAGCAGGCCACACTGACCTGAATGACTCTGCAAACTCAATGTCACCATTGGCTACGGATGCATCAAGCCCATTCCGCTAACCTCATCTCATTCGACAATCACGCCACTGATGGGGTCAGTTGAGTACCCTAAACCGGGACATTTTGGACATTGCCGAATGACCTATCCGGCTGGAGGCGATCGGCCCGAGTCTCGGGGAGATAATGTGACGTTGTGCTTAAACCAACGACATGTCATCGCCTCTTGGCCTTACTGTGAAGCATTCATTGCAACTTGCCATCGACTTTTCCTGGCTTGTGATAACTTGAAAGGGAAGTCCCAGCAAAAGGTCGACAGCAATCGTGGGCGTCGTATGAGCCAAATATCAGAAAGGAGAGGGATGGCCGTGACTACCTCAGCCTAAATGCGTCTTTTTGATGCCAACATCCATGGAGCAAAGTCTTGGCTTGCGACTGTTACTAGAGAGAGACGTGACGACCTTCGCAATAAGGATACACGGAGCGGCTTCGATACGGGAGATGAGATGTGATACAGGCTCTCCGAGAATCGAATCTACACCCATACAATGCCGAAGGCCTGGGAGTTTGATGACTACATTTATATTATAGCGCATCAGCGGTGGGATGTAGCAGAGCATATTGACAAGAAGAGGCTTGGAGTATTAAAGAGAAATGAGCAGAAGAGGGGAGAAGACAGCGAGAGGGGAATGGTTTCCTTCCATGGTATTCTTGTACATTCTTTCTTCGCAACATTATTCTTCAGGAAAGAAGAAACAACACGAGTGTCACAGAGTGCAAAGAGTCGTGGCAAGGTGGGGGAATAGATGAGTTCCTGGCAAGACATTCGTGCGGCTGGAGAGGGACACCAGCTTGCGCCCAGGTTCCGCAGGCCCGGGAACTGGGCGTCAAAAGTCCACAACTAGACGCGCGATGAATTCAAGATTATTATCACAATGTGGCAGTTGTCGCATATGTGACGTCCTGGCGTCCTGTTGGTCCGGCAGAGGCGACGCCAACGGGGCGAAGTGTGAGTTTCATGGGAACTTGGGAGGTGAAGGCGCAGATTGAAAAAAACAAATATGGCGCGTCGGTAGACATTTGCCCGGTCCCAGCGACGCGGATTGGGACGGGTAACAAGCGGTGCCAATCAGGCGTGTTGGAAACGAAACGGCTGATGGTGACTAGGTCCAGGCTGGCTTGGTTTTTTTCTGCTCGGCGCGAATCCCCCGGCCGTTTCTTTATTTTCTTGTATCTTTGCCCCTCCATGTACTCACCCCGCTGAGTTGTCAATGACACAGTGAGAATGATGAAGGACCATGATGTAGAATTCTAGGTAAGAGGGGATAACGGACCGAGAGATGGAGGGCTGGAGGAGGGTTCAACTGGTAGAACTGCTCTCTCGGGGATAGCGGCGCCATAGTAGAAACCAGATTGCCAACTCTGACAGTTGAAGGATCCATTAACAAAGTCAAGAAGGCACAAGACAATGGAACAGAAACGCTGGAAGCGGATAGGTTGGCGGGTCGCAGGTTGGCAAGTTCCCGCGCACCGGCGCATCGAGGCGCATCCAACGCGCATAGAAGAAAATGGAGAAAAAAAGATACAGCCCCCGGTCCCCTGTTGCTCCTGCGTCATTCCCAGGCGCACACGAGGTGGGGGGAGGGGCAACTTGCCGCAACTCTGGACACTCTTTTGGAGGGGGCAGGATCAGGGGTTGGCTGGGGCCAAACAACTCAATGGACTGGACCTTCCTCTCCTTCACCACCTACCTCATGTACCTACCTACCTAAGGTAGATACCTAGAGAGAAGGAAGGAGGGACGGGAGAAATAGATACCTCGCGCTTAGGAGCGTTATCTACCGAACGCAAGTACTCTAAGTGACACTAACCTCACCTTCCACACTTACACCCGACAGTACTTCAGGTACTAAGTAAAGTACATGGCGGGTAGGTAGATAGATATGCGACCAAACAGAAAAGATCAGGTGCAAAGGATACCGAGCTCATTATCATCCAAGTCGTAGCTTCCACTGCCTGCTTACATGATTTCCCGCCGTCTTGAGCGCATACAAAAGAGCACTCCCCCATTCCTTCCCGAAGAATATCTTGCTATTCCACGATAACTCCTCTCTCTTCTCATATCGAGTCCTTTACGTTCTATCCCAAGATACCCCCGACTCTATAGTATACACCTCAAATACTGCCCAAAATGTCCCAGACCTCCCGCACCTTCACCCTCAACACGGGTGCCAAGATTCCCGCCATCGGCCTGGGAACCTGGCAGTCCGCCCCCAACCAGGTCAAGCTCGCCGTCGAGGCCGCCCTGAAGAACGGCTACCGCCACATTGATACCGCCTTCGCCTACCAGAACGAGAAGGAGGTCGGCGACGGCATCATTGCCTCGGGCGTCCCCCGTGAGGAGATTTGGCTCACCACCAAGCTCGACAACCCCTGGCACAAGCGCGTCCCCGAGGCCATTACAAAGTCCCTCGAGAACCTCCAGACCGACTACGTCGATCTCTACCTCATGCACTGGCCCTCTAGCACCGACCCCGACGACCTCAAGAAGCACTACCCCGACTGGGACTACGTCGACACCTGGCGCGAGCTGCAGAAGCTCGTCGACACCGGCAAGGTCAAGAACATTGGTGTCTCCAACTTTGGCCTCACCCACCTCGAGCGCCTCCTCAACGATCCCTCCACCAAGGTATTTCCTACAACAACATTCTCTCCCTTCAGCCATTTCCATACTAACTACAGACCCAGATCGTCCCCGCCGTCAACCAGATCGAGCTTCACCCCTGCAACCCCTCCCCCAAGCTCCTCGACTACTGCAAGTCAAAGGGCATCCACGCCACCGCCTACTCGTGCCTGGGCAGCACCGACTCCCCTCTCTACACCAACCAGACTCTCCTCGAGATTGCAAAGTCCAAGGACCGCACTCCCCAGCAAGTCCTCCTCCAGTGGGGCTTGGCCAGAGACGTCAGCGTCATCCCCAAGTCCGTCTCCGAGGGCCGCATCAAGGCCAACTACGACCTCGACGGTTGGTCCCTCACCGATGACGAGATCAAGAAGATCTCCGCCATCCCCGACCGCTTCAAGGTCTGCGACGGCACTTTCCTTCCCGACGGTGTCAAGGTCTTCTTCGGCGATGATGAGTAAATGTTCGGTTTGGGTAGCAGTGTAATGAGTGTGAGAAAAAAGTGGTGGACTCACATAATGAGTTAAAAAGAAACGAAACAACGCTACGGCGTGATAAGACATGCTGCTACGCATAGGCAGCTAGGACATGACAGTCCTTGGTATACATGAAATGAATAAACGAACTTAAAAAACAAGAAAAAGCCTATTCGTCCTACCCATCAAAGCTTCGGCTTGTGCTTCTCTTCCCTCAAGATATCAGCCACGTTCTCCCGCAACTCCTTTGCAAAATGCTCCGCCTCCTCATCGTCCAGCTCTTCCCTCCGGCCCCGCCCAAACATGGTGAAGCTCTCGCTATAGCGCCCGCTCGCGCGGATCTCGGGTCGCGGAATGAGGTGAAAGTGCATGTGCATCACGACCTGCGCCGCCGCGGCCCCGTTATTCTGCACCACGTTCCAGTCCTCCACGCCCGTCGTGCGCGCCAGAGCGTTGGACAGCACGCGCAGGTACCGGCCCATCTCGGCCGACTCGTCGGGTGAGGCGTCGGTGAGTTTCGGGCGGTGGGCGCGCGGGCAGAGGAGGAGGTGGCCGCGGGATAGCGGGAGGATGTCGAGAAAGGCGATGAGGAGAGGCGTGGAGAGGACGACGAAGGCGGGCGTTGGGATGCGGTTTGGGTCGAGGGTCGAATTGTCGCCTTCGTCTTGTGGGGGTTTGGAAGGGTCGTAGGGCGGGTATTCTGTTGCGATTACGCAGAAGGGACATTGGCCTTCTGGGTGGGATACGCCCGCGTCGAATTGGGAGTTTGGTGTCATGATGGGGTGGTCGGGGGCGGTATCGTGGTGTTTGTGGTGGTGTGGAAAGCCGGGGAGAGCTTTGGCATTATCGGGGGTGTAGATGTGTTGGGGGAGTCTAGAAACGCCCGCTGCGTTGTCTGATGTCGTTCTGAAAGTATTACAGAGTTCGAAGGTATTTTATGAGACTAGCGAGGAAAGAAACGAAATCCAGAGGACGGTGCGAAAGACGTGAGGTTCGTTGGACAAGCTGCTGCGTCCAAGAGGTGTTTCTTCCAAAACCCCAGGAAGCTCTCTCTCTCTCTCCCCAGGAAATCAGGGCGGCAGCAAGGTACGGGGGAAGGTACGGATGGCAAGCGATAACCTCGGGAAGTGGGCCAGCTCAGACGCCCCACCCGATTCATCAGAGCTCCACCACATCACTGCAGTACACACCGCCCAACTTTCTTCCTTTTTTCTGCCGCTCCTATGCGCCTTCACCGCCTGACAAATTGTCATCCCAGCCCCACCACGCCTTCTGCCTGCATTTCCAATCCCGCCGCCTCTCTGAAGAAAATCGCCAAAACTTCAATATCCGACGCGCCATACCACTACACCCCCCCGAACGTAACGACTCCCTCCACCGCCCTTTTAACCCTCGAAAGACGCAAATCACTGAAAAATGTCCCGCGAAGCCTACCAAGTCCCCACCGCCGGTGCCGCCTCCGCGCCCAGCGCGGCCGCCTACCAGTCCTACGGCTCCGAGGGCCCCCAGATGCAATACCTCTGCGGCGACTGCGGTCTCAAGTTCCAGCTGCGTCGCGCCGATCCCATCAGATGCAAGGAGTGCGGTTGTCGTATTCTTTACAAGGAGCGGACCAAGAGGTGAGCTTTTACATGCCATAGAGACGGGTAGGGAATGTGGTATTGGGAGAGCGTAGACTGACTGTGTGGGATAGAATGGTTCAGTTCGAGGCGAGATGATTGGGGAGTCAAAGAATGATTGGCAGAGAGAGAGAGAGAGTATTTGATATTCGCGCGACGTGTGTACGCTGGGGGCGGGATAGCAGCAGCGATGTGGCGCTGCGCAATCGAGAGTCGGAATTGGATGACACACGAGGTGGTAGACTCGAGACTGCATGGGAAGAGAGTCTTGGCTGTCTGCCAAAGAGCCGCATATTCTCCAGCAGGGAAAGAGTCTCGTACGAGGGACACGTATGACAAACAGCCAACTATCAAAGCAAAGCCACAACGCATGTGATGCGCAAGGGCTGCGGGAGTTCAAGGTGGGGGGACCAAAATCAATTCATAGAGCAAGGCATTCTTCTGCACCTGTTCCTTCTCCTTTTTTCTTTTCGAGGTATCTCATGATAATGCAGCAACCGTCTAAAACGCCATCCCCTTGCCCAATTGTTCGTTCATTCTATATCAAATAAATGTGACCTGCGCCGCACGTATGCTGTAGCACCTCATGTCGGTCGCGTGTGCAAGTACTTTGCAAAGCTGCCATCAGCCATGATGGAGTCGCCCTCAGCCTCCATGGCCGCCTCGTACCGGGCCTGAAGACCTTCGCGATCGTCCTCGTCATCCGGCATATCGTCGTCGTCCACGTCGCTGGCGACATCAACACCATCGTCATCGTCGTCGACGGGCTTGACAACCATTGGCTTCTTGCCCGCGTCTACCGACATACCCTTCATCATCTTCTCAACCTCGTGATCACGGGCCAGGCGCTTCTTTTCTTCACGCTCCTCGCGCCTGCGCTTCAGCTCGGGGAGGTAGTCCTGCTTGAATTCCTCGGCCTTCTCCTCCACCGCGGCGAAGAACTCGTCCATGCCTGTTCCCAGACGGGAGCTGACGGGAACGAAGCTCAGGTGGGAGTAGAACTCCTCGAGCATAAGACTCATGGAGTTGAGGAGACTACCCATGTAGCCAGAGCCGCCGCTACCACCCTCAGACGTTTCGTAGCCGCCAATGACGTCGCTCATCTCGTCTTGCTGAAGAGCTTGCTGGAAAGCCTCAAAATCGGTCATCCACTCCTTGGCAAACGTTGCGTCTTGCACGTCGGTCTTGTTGAATACCAGGATCATGGGGAGCTTGGTCTTGTAGAGAATACTGCAGGCGTACAGCATGTTGGACATGAATGTGCTCGTGGAGGTGGTTCGAGGGGTATCGATAACGTAGGCGATGACGGTCGGGAAGGAGGACGCGAGAGACTCGAGAAGAATGGTTCCACTGGCGGACCAAACGAAAACCTCAATCTGTCCGGCTGCGGCGGTGTTAGCAAAGGGTGAGTCTGCCGAGGTATCTTGCAGCCTTACGAGTATCGACAAGAATGTTCTTGATGGGCTTCTTGTCGGGGTTTGTCGGATCTGGCGCAGCGCGCTTGTCGAGCAGGTTGACAATTTGATCAACCTTGGTTGCAAAGAGGTTTAGGGACGTCAGGATACCACCGTTCGGTCCCAGGTTGTACTGCTTCATGACCTCCTCATAGTTGACCGAGTCGCGGATGTCAATGTTGCTTTCGAAAGGGACGTTGAGCACGGCGGGATCCAGGTTGATTACGTAGGGAGGATCCTGCTTGCCGTGCAGGTATGAGTTGATGCGTCGCATGAAGGTCGTCTTGCCGGAGCCTGGTAGTATTGGTCAGCGACACAGTGAGCGCAAGACGCGGTTGTGTATGCCTTACCGGCCATGCCGACGACGACGATGGCGGTCGGAGTTTGAGTGGCCGCATTCTCGGCGGGGGTTTCTGCGGATGTTGAAGCCATTCTGATGTGGTGGGAATTTGCGTGTGGCTCTCCCAGGCGTGTTTGATGTCCAGTAGAAGTGCTCTCTTACGGGCGGTCGCTAAGAAAAAAAGTTCTGGAAGAGTTGCAAGAGCTGAGTGCCCCGCGCGGGGCGTCGGAATGAACGAGACGCCCCCTGTAAGTTGCAACGACTACGGATACGCAGTAGGTAATCAGACGCCCCCCGTCATTGCCAAAATCTTGCTGGCCCGTGCTGGGAAAGTGACGTTCCTCCAGCGTCGCCAATTCGTTCAGGGAACCTGCAGAAAAACAGGCCACTGCAGCTGGTAGCTCCATCGTCAACTAGCAAGCTTCCCACCTCTAGGCACAGCAATGATGGACGGCCTCGACGAATTTGAAAAGGCCCTGGCAGCAGAGAAGGGCGAGAAGGAGCGCATCGAGCGCGAAAAAGAAGAGCGCCGACAGAGGAAGAAGCAGCGCAGCCACCATCACCATCACCGCGATCGGTCTTCTGACAGACACCGAGACCGCGATCGCGATACACATCGCAGTCGAGATGGCGACCGCGACCGAGACCATGACAGGCATCGACAGCACAGATCCCGCCGCCACGAAGAAGATGGGGATGATGGTCACAGACACAAGCGTTCTCGTCATGAAAGGGACGACGAGGAGCGGCGATCGAGGCATAGGCACAGAGAAAGAGACGACGAGCGGCGGACGGACACACACGAAAAGACGTCAGACCCGAAAGAGGACTTGCCTATTCCGGATGAAGAAACACCCCAGAACTCCAAGGACACAGAAGCACCACTGATGCGCGATTCTTGGATGACTGCGCCGTCGGCTCTCGACATCGACTACGTTCAGCGGAAACAGAAGGAGGTTAAGCCGCCACCACCAAAGGAAGAGGCTCCGAGAGTCATTCACGAAAGAGAAATCAACAGAGACTTCGCTGAAGTGGATAATATCCCGACATCGGATGAGAAGGCTGCGACAGCAGAGCGGACAGTCAATTACACATTCGGAGACAATGGCTCCCAGTGGCGCCTGACGAAACTCAAGGGTGTCTACTCCATGGCTGAGGAGTCTGGCCGGTCGGTTGAAGATGTTGCCCTTGAGAGATTTGGTGATTTGCAAGAATTCGACGACGCGAGAGAGGAAAAGATCGAGATGGACAGGCGCAAGGTGTATGGAAGTGGCTATGTGGGCAAGGAGAAGCCTACGGGAGACCTTTATCGCGAGCGCATGGAGAAACGCCGACAAGAAGAGACACCCGCCGCGCGAGACGATATCCACGATGTGGAACAAGGCGTCATCATCCCCGACAATGCCATGCAGCATACGCCCATGGACCAGACCGCGTTGAACAGAATGCGAGCTCAGATGATGAAGGCGAAGCTTCGCAGAGCACCAGATGCTGCCAAGTTGGAAGCCGAGTACAATCAAGCCGCAGCGAATTTTGCCACGAACGGGCCGCAGTCTGTTGTTCTCGGTGTCATGGATAACCGAATGCTGGCAGGGACTCGTGGTGAGGTCAAGGCCATCGAAAACAAGCGTGGGCGAGAGCGCGGGAACGTTGAAGCCAACGAGGACATGTCAATCGAAGACATGGTTCGCGAGGAGCGCAGGACGCGCGGTCAAGCAGGCGGCGAAGGTATGCGGCTCGCTGAGCGCATTGCCAAGGACGGTAAATTTGACGACGACCTCGATTACATGGACGAGAATGCGGACAAGCTTGCCAAGCGAGTTCACAAGTCCGAGGTTAACCTCAAGAACGTGGCTGTCAACGAATATCAAAAGGTGTCACGGATATTGGACAATTGTCCGTTGTGCCATCACGAGGACAAAGGACAGCCCCCTCTGGCACCCGTCATCTCTCTTGCGACGCGCGTGTTCCTGACACTGCCCACGGAACCTGAGGTCAGCGAAGGCGGCGCTGTCATTACGCCCATGGCGCACCGCAAGAACCTGCTGGAGTGTGACGACGACGAATGGGAAGAAATTCGAAACTTTATGAAGTCTCTGACGAGAATGTACCACGAAAAGGGCCAAGAAGTCATTTTCTACGAGAATGCAGCCACGCCGCAGAGGCATCTCCATGCGGCCATGATGGCTGTGCCGATCCCGTACGAAGAGGGCGCGACGGCTCCGGCCTACTTTAAAGAGGCCTTCCTCACCACGGAAGATGAGTGGTCGCAGCACCGGAAGATAATTGACACGGCCGCCAAGGCAAGAGATGGCATGGGCAGGACGGCGTTCCGGAGGAGCATCGCAAAGGAGATGCCCTACTTCCACGCGTGGTTCACGCTCGACGGCGGCCTCGGGCACATCGTCGAGAACTCTGACCGGTGGCCGAGAGGAGACCTTTTTGCAAGGGAGATAATCGGGGGCATCCTAGACGTCGGCCCGGACGTGATCAAGAAACAGGGACGGTGGAACAAGGGTGACCGGAGAGTCGAGGGTTTCAAGAAGAAATGGAGGAAGTTCGACTGGACCCGCGTCTTAGCCGATGGTTAAGCTTAACCACAAATGGAACGTAATTATCATGGCTATATCAATATCCAGAGCATCGACGTGATAAACCTCGGCTGAGAGTTCCGAGAGGGCCGTGGAAGGGTTGGTTCAAGGTCTGGGAGAGGCTGGCACGTTGGCTGGGCCCCCCAATTCCAATATGTTTTTCTCGAAGCTTCATCCCCGCCCCCGTCACCTGATGATGCCAACGGCCACCCACGTCGAGGCCCAGACTGCTGGAACTTGGCACCCCCAGCCAAACCAACGAAGCTATTGTTGCTACTGTAACTCGTTGGAGGCACAATATCCGAAAATTGCGGGCGAGCAGGGGCCCACCACCTCCAGGTCGCGCAGGCGCACCAATCGTCAGCGTGCCGAGTCTGGGGTCTCCCCCGGTAACCCCGCGATGAGTCCCCGCAGTTCGGGCCGTCTCCATTCTGTCAGCTGCTGCTTTGCCTGCCGTCTTGAGTGCTTCTGCCCGCTGGGAAATCTTCCGTCGAATGGTCACATTGGCCCGAGAAGTGAAAGAGAAAAAAAAAACAGAGATTGCCGAGACCCGTGACGACTGACAGCTCGCTTGCGTTTATTTTGAACCCTTGCCAGAGTGGTGAAATCATGGTTCGACTTGATGCCTAGCCCGGTGGGCGGTGAGGGGGTTGTTAAGATTGATATATAACACGGCTGTTGCGTCGTCGAGGGAGAGGTTGGAGGATTGGCTCTTTGTGTGTCTCAACCGCTGTGATATCATCTCATCATGAAGTTGCTCTCTCTCCTCGGCCTCACGGCTCTGGCCACGGCTGTTCCGGCCCCGGAGCCCGTCAAGTACGTTCTGACCACTTACATCTCGTCACTTACACCAAAACACCTACCGTGAGGTACTAGAACAATGTCAACAGAAGGCTAACATGAAGAAACGCAGACAGCCCCGGCCCCGGTCACGGCAAGCCCTTCTTCTACAAAGGCCACGACCTGAGCTCCCTCAAGATGCTCGAGGAGAACCAAAACATCTACATTGACACGGCGCGCGGCAACGCGACCCGCCCGGCCGACGACATCCTCGCCGACGGCGGCATGAACGCCGTCCGCCTCCGCCTGTGGGTGAACCCGCCCGACGGCACCTACGGCCTCAACTACACCATCGACCTGGCCAAGCGCTTCCAGGCCAAGGGCCAGCGCATCTTCTTGGACTTCCACTTCGCCGACAGCTGGGCCGACCCGCAGAAGCAGCCGCTGCCCGCGGCGTGGCCGACGCAGCTGGAGCCCCTGGCCGGCACGCTGCGCAACTACGTCCGCGAGACGCTCGTCGCCTTCAAGGACGCCGGCGTGACGCTGGACATCGTGTCGTTGGGCAACGAGCTCCGCCACGGCACGTTGTGGCCTCTGGGCCAGGCGAATGTTGACGTTCAGCCGTGGTCGGCGCTGGTCAAGAACTTTACCAACTTTGCGACGCTCTACAAGGCCGCGCGAGCGGGTGTCAAGGACGCGACGTGCGCGGGCGTGCCCAAGCCCGAGGTCATGATCCACCTCGACAACGGCTGGAACCTGACGCTACAGGAGCGGTGGTACGGCGCGCTCGTCGACAACGGGGTGCCGCTCTCGGCGTGGGACAGCTTCGGGTTTAGCTTTTACCCGTTCTACGGCACGTCGGCGACGTTTGCGAACCTCAAGAACACGCTCAAGGTGCTCGGGGAGAAGTACGGCAAGCCGATGCAGGTTGTCGAGACGGATTACCCTGCCATCTGCAACGGGCAGTGGAACCCGATCCCCGAGTCGTCGGAGCCGAGTATCCCGTACAACGTTGATGGTCAGGTGCAGTGGATGAAGAAGCTGCTCAAGACTGTGAGGGAGACGCCCAAGGGTCTTGGACAGGGTGTTTGGTACTGGGAGCCTGGTGAGCACCACTTCCTCTGGGTTGACAATGAGTTGAGATGCTGACTTTTGATAGCGTGGTTGAACAACACGAGCTTGGGAAGTGACTGCAACGACGCCGTCTTGTTCGAGCCGGATTACAGCCAGTGGCCCAAGACATTTGGGTACTCGCGCTCGTCTGTCAATGTCTACTTGGAAAAGTAGGCCGGTGCGTCGCACTGAGAGCAGGGAGGTCTAGGTTGAAATCTGAAGAGTTGCGGTCCGGACTTCGGATAGCTGCCGTTGAGCAAGGGCACAAGAGCAGAAGTCGCAAGTGGCAGGGGGGATATGAACTGCTGCTTGAGTCAGAATAGTTTCGATGCTAATGATAATTCAAAAATACCCGAAGGTTACGGAATCCAATTTGAGTTGGCTCTTGGGATAGTCTCAATAATTCTCACTTGACTCGTCGGTGGTGACTGTTTTGAGTGAACAAGGCTATGAAAGTATTTCCTTCCGTATGCTTTTGCTTCTATTCTTTCTGTACTCAGCTTACTGGCCAGTCTGCTGTCACTGGTGATGCTTGACTTCGTGTGAACTTTGACTGTGATAGCTACAGCAAAAGACTGAAGCGGGTTCCGTGGAAAGTGCCACTCATGCCCCTCAAACACTTAGCACACCCACCAATTGCGAGCCCCCTTTTCTACTGTTCAACTTCACAGTAATTACCCGGCTCTCGAGAAGCGAGCCGCATCAGGTTGCGGAAAAGGGGGGTATCTGTCCGGGAGGTATGTTGCGATGGTGTTGACGTTGCCGGCGGCCGGCAGCTTGTAGATGGTAGCATTGACACGGTGAATGCCCCGACTCAGTCGAAGGGTGTCTTCATCTCTCCATACTTTTCAACCATTATTCTCGAGAGATTAAGCAGGAGGGAGGCCTTGAGAAACAAAATGTGACAGATTAAACAAAGTGGTATGCCGCGATCAGGTAAGACGGTCAGGGTTCATCCTGCCAGGCAGGACCCCTATGTTTAACAAGCTCATGCTTTCACCGCAGCGCCGTTCCGTAACTCTGTTTCGATTGAGCGCGAGGCGGGAGGGCGTCATAGTCATAGCCTTTGGACACATGAGATTGTTGAGAAGGCAAGTGGTTTGTTCATCAGCCGGTCCGTTCTACAGGAGGTCTTTTGAACGAAAAAGCTTGACAAGCACACAAGCACACAAGCAGGCCAAGCTGGTAGTAAGTTGGAAAGTACGTGGTGAGAAAAAGAAGCTTCACCCTGGTACGTCATCAGCCATGCGATGGGAATGGGAAACAGCGGTTACCCCACGATTGTACGCGTGTATGAAACGGGAGCATTGATCGGGAGAGCGAGAGTCGTGTTTGGGGTTTCTGTGCAGGGACGGGGCTAAAGGGTGTCAGTCGGTTTGAAGAAACAGATGAAGTTTGTGGGTGGTAGTGTGTGCCGTTCCATCTGAATAAGGTGCCTCGCACACATGAGGTTGTTGTTGTTTGGATGAATACACAACACTGTTGGTATGAGGAATGAGGATGTGAGGGTCGGTGTAAGTGAGTGAGGTGAGGTGAAGTGAGGTGGTGAGTGACCTTGGATGGACACTGAACGGTGAGAGGACCCAGGAGGATGCGGGAAGGAGCTGGTGGGAGGCGCAGGCTGGTAAATGCACTGTGCGGTATACGGAGGGGTGCGGCTTCGGTAGGGTCGGGGCCCGTCGGGGAGCTCTTGAGGTCCGCTGTCCATCCGCAGTGTCGTTGTCTGCCCCATGTTTCTGTCCAAACTTGAGCCGTGAGACCAACTGGTCAAGACTTGTCAAGATCCATTTTTAGCCATCTTGGGTGGTTGAGGTTCTGCCTGATGGTGATCTGTGGGGAAGCGGAAGGCGCCAGCGACACAGTGTTAATCCTGAGGAAGGCGTGGCTTGGGCCGACTTTCCGCCGATGATTTCGCAGACAGGAGGGAGGAAAGAGCTCTGCTGATGCCTCACCTTCCTTTCGTGGACGGACATACCTAGGTAAGGTACCTACCTTAAGAGAGAGGACAGGAAGATACTTGTCGGTTGTATCTTTTAAAGTTCCATTGCTTTGAAGCACGCAAAGCAGCAAACCTGCAGCACCATTCCATCGTCTTATTTCCGCCTCTTCTTTACCACTCGAGCAAGGCAAAGAAACCAGGATTAATCTTTCTCGGTTGCAGCGCGCTTCATTACCTGCCGTGCCTGCCATTGCATTGCTCCATTTCTTTTTAGATCCTGTCCCTCCCTCTCCTATAACCCCCGTCGCATCCGTCCTACACTACACATTACTCTCGCCAAGTTTGAAGATCCTTCTTCTTTATTGCTGCTGCTTCATCGGCCTCGCCTCCCCGACTCTCTCGGTCAACCGTCTTTCTGCTTTCTGTCAGACCAGCGGGAACAAAACCTCCGTCGCCTCCCCTCCAAATCACCCAAACCAGCGATACCGGCCAATCATCCGCCTCCCGTGCGCCACAACGAAGCACATCAGTTACCCTTTTCTCGCTACGGTGTCGTCATTTGTCACTCGTCACTCCCCGTACCCAGCCTTTCGAAGCCATCCGCCTGCAGAAAGCACATCCAAGGGTCCTCGTCACCCTCGACCATATTTTTCATCCCTCCCATCGCCCGTCGATTTGCTTGCCAAATCGTTACCTCACGTCTGAGAGGCAATAGACGAATCGATAGCGGCGCACCTTATCGATCCGGCTCCCCAAGCCCGAAGCCAAAAAGCACAAACCAACAGAACCGAACCACCGCCCGGTCGCCGCCTCCTTCTCTCTCATATTATTCTTTTCTATCATTTCCTTCTTCTAGAACCTCTTTCCCACCCCGGGCGCCTCCTCTGCGTAATCCGTCACCATGTCGTGGGAACTCTCTCGCCGTCGCATTGTCCGAGCTGTCAACAGCAAATACATTTATGGACGTCTCGTATGCCAACCCCTTCCATAGCACTGTCGTACCTACCTGCCTGCTCCATTCGTTGCTTTTCGTGTTGCTCCTAGAACATTCCTCACACGATTGAATCTGAATCCTTGCTTGGCTGTCTTGCTTTCCCGTCCGCCACCTCCGTACTACCATTTGCACTTGCGCTTGCGCTTCCGCTGTCTCCTATCGCTGCATCTCCTCCATCTACGCCTATCGCGCCGCACCTGATTAAGTCAACTTTACGCTGACCTGCGAACCTACCTATAGCCACTGCTTCACGCAATCATCATTCTTATCGAAATGGCGCTCGTCGCCCGGCTGGTGTCCAAGTTCAACCAATACTACGATGAACGGCCACGTACGTGCCTCCAAGAATCCCACATCCAGAGTTCGCCACACCATGATCCATCATTCATACTGACTCTATTGTCGCAACAGTGCTCACCATGATGGTGACCAACGCCATCCTCGGTGGCATCGCCGATACGACCGCACAGACAGTTACCGCCCTTCGCCTGAAGGCCGTCCGTAAGCCCGGCGGCGTCGACAAGGACGATGGCATCGCGATCGAAATCCACGACCTCGACCGCAAGAACCCCTTCTACGAGAAGGACCTCATTCCCAACATTAGCAGCCTGCCTCCTCCATTCGATTTTGAGCGCCTGACTCGCTTCATGGCCTACGGTTTCGGCATGGCGCCCCTCCAGTTCCGCTGGTTCAAGTTCCTGTCAGCCACTTTCCCCATCACCAAGACCAGCGCCTTCGTCCCTGCCATGCAGAGAGTCGCATTTGATCAGCTTATTTTTGCGCCCTTTGGTCTGCTGTGCTTCTTCTCTGTCATGACGGTTGCCGAGGGTGGTGGACGTCGTGCCGTCATGAGCAAGTTGCGCGACATGTATATCCCCACGTTGAAGGCCAACTTCATCGTCTGGCCTGCCGTGCAGGTCGTCAACTTCCGCCTGATGCCCATGCAGTTCCAACTGGTAAGTTCGGAAAGTTGAACGGGAGACACTAGTAATACATGCTAACACTACGTAGCCCTTCGTCTCCACGATCGGTATTGCCTGGACCGCCTACCTCTCCCTCACCAACTCATCTACCGAGGTCGATAACCGCCCCGGCGCCCGCGAGGACGACCACATTCGTCTCAGCTAAACTCACCACCTATACTTGATTTCCTCGCATTTTCAGTCTGCAGGTCGGCATGGGTCAGGTCTGGTCGACACCATGGCGTGCACACGAGAAGGTTATACCAATGGAGCACAGTCGTGCTTAGAATTTATTCGATCGTTATAAAGAAAAAGACAGCAACGGCATTAACGGCATCGGCTGCTGCGAAGGGTACAGGCGTCTGGTGTTTTGGATCCGAATGATTGGTTTAGGAAGGCCCTCATTTTATCGTCTCTCTTTTGTAGTAAGCAGTTGTAAAATGCAACGAAATTGAACAAGACAGTTCATCGATGATATCTGATGCTTTGGATAAAGTGTGGTCTGAGAATGTTGTAATGGCTCCGATTTTGGACCGGCGGATCTCTCGGTGATATTTGAAGCTTGTCACTGAGAGCAAACCCCGGTCACCTTGGCTGTTGAAAATTATTGCTATAACATACCACAGCATGCTTGGTGCACAGTCCTCGGTTCAGGACTGTTATGTACCAACAATAGCGTCTGAAACGGAACCATAAGATAGCCAAGATGCTGCAGGCTCTTTCCGTGTGTTTTACCCTGCCTTACATGTCTCTGGTATCGGGCGATAGGTATTTTGGCTACGGTCCGTTGATTCCGGGCGGATGGCCGTGACCGGGGGATTGGTTGAGGAAAGCGCAGTTTCTGTGAGGTATCAGACTACCATCACGTCACACACCCATGGCGGGGCAGGCCGCAAGCACCAGCACCGCAAGCACCCCCGTTGTCGCAGCTGGCCGATTTAGTGGAAAAGAACTAGACAGGGCACCTAAGGCAAGGTAGGTAAGCAAAGCTCCCCCCACTGATAGGCCAAATCTAGGTATCTATCACCCGGGCATGGATAAGGTACAGTACTTGCAGGCGTGCAACAGCAGGGCCGAAAATCAACCCCGCCAACAGAAAAAAAAGTCATGCAAAAAAACCGCCGAGCGAAAATGCCCCTCCTTCCATCCTGCTTGCTCTAGGTACCTTACCTTACAGCGTCCGAGTCGCTGGCACTGAATGACAGTAACAGCAGCACCCCACCATTGCAAGCTTCCCAACGTGAGGTGCCCGTGTTGAACCACTCGAATTGACTGATTACTGCATGTTTTACCCCCCTGCCCGCGCCGTTCTTAGAAGTGTCCGGCGTGGTGTCCAGTCCCTCCCTCACTCACTCCATCAGGTCCAGCCATCCCACCTTGGGCAAGGTAGGTAGCGTGTGCGCGTGGTAGCTAAAGTACCTTAGCTAAATATACCTCAGACCTTTTACTACTTCCTCAACGTCTTCCCTCCCCTCCTCCTCTTCTTCCTCTTTCTACTTCTTCAACCTTCAACTCTACCCTTCATCCTCACACATTTGCGCCCCTCACAATCGCAATCATGTCTCTCGCCAACAAGCTCTCCATCACCGACGTCGACCTCAAGGGCAAGCGCGTCCTCATTCGCGTAAGTCATGCCACTCTTACCATGTCAACGTCCTGGCCTTGAGCGGTGCTGGGGACGGTTCTGGTGTTGGTGGTGGTTTTGTTGCTGCTGCTCAAATTACCCCACCATGCCACCATGCCACACGTACCCGCGCCTGAACCCGGGTATCACCTCACACCCGTTCCGTATTCTGGCGATACGGGACAAGCCGCGGGTATTCGACTCGGCCACCCTGCACATGCTTTCTCTGACGGCATTGGAATACACCGGGAACGCTGGGCACGCTTTCAAAAGCCACGGCCCACTAAGCCGGAAGGTTGAACTCCCCTTGCTAACCCCTCACCTAGGTCGACTTCAACGTCCCCCTCGACGCCGACAAAAAGATCACCAACAACCAGCGTATTGCCGGTGCCGTCCCCACCATCAAGTACGCCATCGACAATGGCGCCAAGGCCGTCGTCCTGATGTCCCACTTGGGCCGTCCCAATGGACAGGAGAACCCCAAGTACAGCCTGCAGCCCGTCGTCCCCGAGCTCGAGAAGCTGCTCGGCAAGAACGTCCAGTTCGCCAACAACTGCGTCGGCAAGGACGTCGAGGACCTCGTCAACAAGGCCACCGACGGCCAGGTTGTCCTCCTCGAGAACCTGCGCTTCCACATTGAGGAGGAGGGTTCCGCCAAGGACAAGGAGGGCAACAAGACCAAGGCCGACAAGGCCAAGGTTGAGGAGTTCCGCAAGGGTCTCACTGCCCTCGGCGACGTCTTCATCAGTGAGTCCTTTACTCTTGACTGCTATCGAGAACCCCGTCCTGTCTCGGAAGCTAATAAGTATAACTAGACGATGCCTTCGGCACTGCTCACCGCGCCCACTCCTCCATGGTCGGTGTCGACCTGCCCCAGAAGGCCTCCGGTTTCCTCATGAAGAAGGAGCTCGAGTACTTCGCCAAGGCCCTCGAGAACCCCCAGCGCCCCTTCCTCGCCATCCTCGGTGGCGCCAAGGTCTCTGACAAGATCCAGCTCATCGACAACCTGCTGGACAAGGTCAACACCCTCATCGTCTGCGGTGGCATGGCCTTCACCTTCAAGAAGACCCTTGAGAACGTCAGCATTGGTGACTCCCTCTTTGACGAGTCCGGCTCCAAGACCGTCGGCAAGCTCGTCGAGAAGGCCAAGGCCAACAACGTCAAGCTCGTCCTCCCCGTCGACTACGTCACCGCCGACAAGTTCGACAAGGACGCCAAGGTCGGCTCTGCCACTGACGAGTCCGGCATCCCCGACGGCTGGATGGGTCTCGACTGCGGCCCCAAGTCCATTGAGCTCTACAAGCAGGCCATTGACGACTCCAAGACCATCCTGTGGAACGGCCCCGCTGGTGTCTTTGAGTTTGACAACTTTGCCACCGGCACCAAGTCGACGCTCGATGCCGCCGTCGCCGCTGCCGAGGGCGGCAAGATTGTCATCATCGGTGGTGGTGACACGGCCACCGTTGCCGCCAAGTACGGTGTCGAGAGCAAGCTCAGCCACGTCTCCACCGGCGGTGGTGCCAGCTTGGAGCTTCTCGAGGGCAAGGAACTGCCCGGTGTCACTGCTCTGTCGAGTAAGTAAATCATTCCTCGTATAGTGGAGGATGAAACCTCTATGGACTCGATCGGTCTGATAGATGGGAAAGGCCGCGCTGGTAAGGCCAGTCTTTAGGACTCGGGATGTAAGAAATGCGCGTGCGGGAATGCAACGAACGCAGAAGCCCATGCCCGGGAAAAGGAGGGGCGCTCATGATGAACGTAATGCCCTCGTGTCATGTCCTAGGATCATTAAACATCACGATATCAAATAAACAGTAAAAGTAGAGACACGTCTCGTTCCAAGGGAAATCCAAAGGGGGATTTGGAAAACCTCGCGTGCCCAGTTGTGATTTCATTTCTGGTATGTCGCCAGTCGTATAGTGCTCGTTACGTAGAGTAGTCTATGCCGTGATTCCCGCCAAGTTCACCCATGCGTCATTCTGCCTCCTGTCATCGTACCACACGCACACACCGCGAGTAGCTTATCGTCTCTTGGATGCCTCGACCTTCTTCAACTCCTCCCTGTGGTGTTGTCAGTACTCCTGTTATGGGGGTGATCTCAGAGGGTTGGGGATTGCCATACTTCAACTGCGCCGAGAAGTCGTCGGTCGTGTCATCGTCGTCCCAGCTCTCCTCCCACAGGTGCTGCGTCGAGCCACTGCCGCCCGCAGCCGCCTCGGTCTCTTCCTGGGGCCAGTCTGTGGTAGATACGTTAGCATACTGTCTTTCTTCGCAAATAAAGCAGATACAGTGTGGCGTGTCTGTCTATGTTGGCCAGGTATGATGATTCCCCTCCAACGTATCTCGAGGTTTCGATGAGACAGATGGACCAAGTGATACCATCATCAGTCCTCAATCATAGTAAAGCCGAAGCAGTAGATGCTTCGTCAAACACCATGGAAAGGAGATTATCGCCAATGAAGGATGGAGGAGACATACCATCAACAGGGAAATCCTCGAATTCGTCGTCCTCGCCGAGCGCGGGCTTCTTCGCCGCCGCGGCCTGCTGCTGCGTCGTCTCGTCGGCCTTGGGGTCCGCGGCGGAGGCGGTCTTGTCCTGGGGCTTTGCGTCCGAGGCCATTGTGTGGGATGTGTGTGTGTCTTTGTGGTGTGTGGATTGAGGAATGCCTTGCGCTTCCCTCTCGGTTGTGCGAGATTGCGATTTGTCGTCGAAGGAAGGGTAAGATTGACCGGATTCCTAGAGAGTTTTTCTTTCGTGGGGTTTCGCAGGTTTCGCGGTGTCGCTGGTTGTGATTGTGGTTGGGTTTGCGGTGTTGGAATTGCGGGTTGGTGATGGCGATGGTGTTGGGAGGAGCTAGCTTGCTTGCAGGCGATGGAGAGGTAGCAGGCAACGCGGGCGGACGGTCGGTGGTGGAAGGTTGTCGACGGGCGGAAGTTGCCGGCTGCGGCTGGCTGGCGTTGCTGCTGCTTTGCTTGCTGGGTGCGGCGGGCTGAACAGGCGGCACTGGGAAGGCGTAATGCTGGCCCTGGCGTCGGAGGTGGGGTGTGGGATTAGCTTACCGTACGTCCCATAGGCTCAGGTGGGATTGACGTGCACCCCCATAGCAACTCTCCCCCACCAAGCTGAAGTCAAGCCGGTGAGAATAACTTCTTACTTGACGACGGTGTTTTGTCCCAAAAGTGTCTGGGTTACTCGGTTCATCTGACTGCTTCACTTTTTACGATTGAGAAGATCCAAAACAAAGTCGTAAACCTTGGGTTCGCGACAAAGACGGGAAAACTGCCGTCTGAAGCTAAGGCAAGCATCTACGTACTGTTGGGCACTCTGTTACATCGAATACGCAAGCGTGGCCATATTTTGTCCTTTTGAAGTGGACACTTATTCAGGCAAGAATAGGAAGTAAAGAGCAGGAGAAAATCAAGAAAGAAGATAGAATATTATGACGTATGGATAGCACTTTGAGAGCTGGCACTTTACAGCCTTTTGCCAAAGAGTGAGTGGTCCAAACCAAAATCCGGCTTGAACGCCAGACTCCCGTGATATTCAAGCATATCCATACTGATTCCGCCTCTCAACATCCCTCAAACAATCGTTGCAATATCCCGCCTCCCAGCGCGTCTCATACCTCAAACTCAGCAGACACCGACCGCGAGTCCTGCCCCGCGAACATATGTCTGTCCCGTGCTCCACCGTGTGGCGGCAGTCCTCCTTCTTTACCTTCCAAATGGTGCACATGATCATGAGCTTGCTGTCTTATAGAGATCAATAGAGAAGTAGTGCAGACCTAAGTTCTTGAGGTAAAAGTGATTTTGGAAACAACGGTGTGGAATCACTGAACTGTTCAAATTCATGTTTCGAGCATCTCATATATATGGATACCCCAAACGCTGATGACTGTGTGCTTCTCATGAATCGCACTTGCTATATATAACCTCTGACTGTTGAACACACTCGCCTTGACACAACCTAGCCGGTGCGGTATCCGATGTGACCAAGGAGAAAACACTGTGACAAATAACGCCTGTACACCAAGAAATTACTTCCCGACGTCCGCCAAGGTTTCTGAAGACTGTCGAGTGTTCTACGCATCCT